TATATATATGTCTATTTATATATTTATATATTATGTATGTGTCTGTGTATTACCGTATATTGCATCGGCAGATGGGCAGGTGCACCCAAAAAATGTACTGAAATAAATGCTTTTCTCTCAAATGTGTAAATAGAAACATGTAGCTGTAATGACAGTGAGAGAATGGAAAGCTGATTTTTTTAAATATAATTTACCCAATTTTGATTTCAACATCTCGTCAACGTAAGCATCATCACAATATGATCACCGTCATCTTGTCCTTGCATGCCCATTAACGCCAGCCGTCATCATAAACCATCATTAAATGGGAGGAGCACGCGAGGAGCTCAGGCACCCCCGTGTGTGTGTTTTTCGAGGGCCGCATCGTGCTGCAGATGAAGCATGGCAGGAGACAGCGAAACAAAGCAAGGTGACCAAGCCGAAAATGAGAGCATTAATCCGCAGCCTTTCCTCATCGGTGTGGCTGGAGGGACAGCCAGCGGCAAGGTGGGTGGCCGATAATAAACGCGCTTTAATGCTGTTTCTTGGTATTTGTTGTATTATTCTGTGTCAACCGGCATAAATGGATTCGTTTAAAAAAAAAAAACAATTGAAGATGACACGTTTTTTTTTCTACTGGAAAATAATCGAAGCTTATTTCTAATGTTTTAGTTGGAATTAGACTGCTTGTATTCCCTGATAAGTAATGAGTGTATAGGCTAGACGACAGCATATTTTATGTCAAAATAAGATACATTGTCAAAATAGGCATTTTCTTAGATCAATAAAGAAGCATAGTGTGATATGGGGAAATCAGACTCAGCGAATATGTTTCTCTAAGGGGACATAAAGGGTTGCAAGGATCAGAGTAAATGGATTTCAATTAATTAGCGTTAGCTGCACAGGGTATGGCTATCAGCACCTGAAAATGGAGAATAAAAATAAAACGTATTTACAGACTTTGAAAGTAGAAGTTGAAAATAACCAAGCAGCTGTGTTAAGATGTGATGCTGCCTGTATGCCATATATTGTTTTCTTCATGATCTGCATTGTTGTTTCTGGTGGGTCTGCTGGAACCTGATGTAACCTCTGTCTCGCTTCACCTCATTTCTCAGGTTGCCTCATTGACATAACAATTGTGTCTTCAATGTCATGAGACTAAATATCTGCGTTATCATTCTGTATTCAATATTGATATTGAGTTTCAAAGGTGTTTCAAAGGTTGCCAATAAGTATTGTTCCCTCTTTTGAAGATCCAAAATGGACGCATTAGTTTTATATTTGGTTACACCGTTGCTTTACAGAGTCTTTCATCAGGACATCACATGCCAAGGCAAAATCAACGTCTTTATTTCTTCTTCTCAATGTGGGCGACAAATGTGGTTCTCCAAATGTCAAGCGAATCAAGTAGTCCTGTGTGTGGGACATTTTGGACAAGGCAGCTAAATTCGTTTATTATTTAAGTAGCCTGTTCCTCGATGTTAGTCATGTTGGCTGATTTTATAGGAGACTATATCAACCAAACTTGGTTCAGTAGTTGTTTGTGGGTGTGACTTCCTGGTACTAAGCCCCGTTTTTTTTTTTTTTCCCCAGAAGAGTAACTGCTCACAGAGCCACCTGCTCTCCCACGCACGTTATCTGAAAGTAAACTGCAGTCTTGTTTTAGAGCTGTCTGTGACTGTATCTGTCTGCCAATCCAAGTTTGCGGCCAGCGTTTTGCCATGCCACCTGTTTTGTTCTCCTTGTGTGACTAGTCGTCGGTGTGCAGCAAGATCATGGAGCTGCTGGGCCAGAACGAGATCGACCACCACCAGCGGCAGGTGGCCATCCTCAGCCAAGACAGCTTCTACAGGGTCCTCACCCCAGAACAGAAGGCCAAGGCACTCAAGTGCCAGTTCAACTTCGACCACCCAGGTGTGTGTTGGTATTAATCACCTCGTCGCATGCCTCAGTTGTGTTCATGTATCATCTGGCAGCAGGGTAGTCAATGATAGACGCCTGCTGGCCTGAAACAGCTTGTCACCTGCTGGGAAATGTCTGCCTTGTTCATTCAGAGGCGATTCCAGCTGATAATTCAGGACATTAAATCAGGATATTGCATCCGGCTGCAGAAATAGTTTTAACTGCTTTGTTCTCTTTCCCTCTGTATAGATGCCTTTGACAACGACCTCATAATCGCAACTTTGTGGGACATCAAGAAGGGAAAAACCGTACACATCCCCGTTTATGACTTTGTTTCCCATTCCAGGTAAACGAGTCTTATCAATCAGGCGAAATACAGACACAACATACTTTCATTTATTCGTTTCAGCCCAGGCACTATTAAAGAGGACTCCAATGCACCAGAATCTGGCAGTAACATTAACTTAAAAAGTGCTAAATGCGAAATTCAGAGCATGTCTATGGCCTCTATGTGGCTCTCAACATGGCAACGGCTGAGTCGGCAGTTAACAGAGCTGACAGAGCTAACAGTGTTTACACGAGGGGGAACCGTAAGGTGGGTGCTATGCTTCCACGACGGCACCGTCATACAAAGCAAATTTTTGCTGTCGTATAAATGCTCTGAATATCGTATTGAGAGAACCTTCTTAAAATAGACAGAATGTCCACTGTGGTGGATTAACTATGCCACCTTTTTTTTGTAAATTGGTCTTCATAGTGAAATGAATGGAGACCAATGGCTGCCTAGAAGGAAGCAAAACATTTGAAAATCTGAAACACCACAATATGATCTCATCATTGCTGCAAAGTATATTTAAATTGTGTATATAGCACTGGAACACTGAATAATTAAACACTGGAAGATTGTTAATGTAGCTTTGAAGCGAGACTTGTAGCTTCTAAAGAAAAAATGACACATTTTTTACAACAAACCATAGCTCGGTTCAATGCACTCTTGGATTGAGCAACACTTGTATTTTTATGTTATGTCTTTTGTATGGCAGGAAAGAAGAGACGGTGACAGTGTACCCTGCTGATGTGGTGCTGTTTGAGGGCATCCTGATGTTCTATTCTCAGGAGATCCGAGACCTTTTCCAAATGAAGCTGTTCGTAGACACAGACACAGATACATGTCTATCTCGAAGAGGTGAGACATCCAATCACGACAGTTCCCTCCGGTTTCTAAACGCTAGAGGCAAGACGCTAAGTTAAAGATGATTGGTCATTTTGGGAAATACGGCAGGTGTATAGCTCAGCTTGGCCCAAAGATTGGAGGCAGGGGGAAACGGCTAGACTGGCTCTAAAGGCAATAAAATCCTAAACACAAATCATCTACAGTAACTCTGCAAAAGAAGATGTCAAACTACTGGTTAAAGATAACTCTTCCCTGGTCTTATCTACCCTCAGTGCTGCGTGATATAAATGAACGTGGACGGGACTTGGAAAGCGTTCTAGCACAGTACATCACTTTTGTAAAGCCTGCGTTTGAGGAGTTCTGTCTGCCAGTAAGTGCTATTCTACATGTACTGTAACACTACTCCACTCATTTGCATGATTGTGCCCCTGAGCCTTGACTCACGGTCGAACCTTTTTGTCCTTTTTATTCAGACAAAGAAATATGCCGATGTGATCATACCGAGAGGAGTTGACAATCTCGGTGAGTATTTGTGCTTTCGGAGCTCACAGACTATCGTGTAAAAATTGAAGCCACGTGTTCGAAACACTAGTCTTAACAGTGTTATCATCAAGGACACAGCTGTGTCTGTTGTTGGCCTCTGAGCTGAGAATTGTGTTCTCAAAACTAAGGAAGCCGAAGCATCTGCTGCTGGGAGAACCAAACCGCCTTGTCTGTTGATTTGAGAACGGAACTTTGAAACTGAAATCCAAAAGAAACTGCAGACGAAATCAAAACTGTATAGTCTAAATATCTTGAAGCAGGATACCTACCCTGACTCAGCCCCAGTTTATGCCTCTTATGTATTATCATTACATTGAGGTCACAGAGCTAAGCATCCAGTTATACCGTGCAATCTTTGAACTGAAGACTGAGTCTACAGCCATGCTAGCAGTAAGGGCAGTACTTATGCTGCATTCACATGGAATCATCATTTTAACGGACGAGAGCAGGACGCTGAAGTTTGGTGAGGTCAGCAGAGAATACCAGCAGAAGTAACTGTAGACTGCACTGCCTTCCAAAGACAACATTTTTAATTTATCGCCATCCTCCGCGACGGAATTTACAACCGGATGCTACGTAGCTTGCTCAGAGGAGAAAGTTTTTAAAGTTTGGAATATAATATTAATGTAAAAGCTGCATTTTATAGCTACATGCAGTACTAGAATAGTTGCATGAAATAATGGACACAGAATGGTTTTATTTCATATATTTTTTTCCATCACCATAGCCACATTTTGTCATGCATGCTTCGTTTTTCCCATGCTGTCCAGAAGGTGTTGTCAGTCTAAGGTCTACACAGGCAGCAAGCTCCAAGTGAAGTGAAGTCAACGTAGAAGTGCCTTAAACCTGCATTCTCTCTAATGGCCATCAGGGGGCGACTTTTCTGGTGGCAAAAAGAAGTCTGGTTGTATAGAATTCTATGAGAAAATGACCCTACTTCTCACTTGATTTATTACCTTAGTAAACATTGTCAACATGAGTTTATGGTTGCAAATCTTCTCCAATACAGCATAATGTGTTCATTAAGTAAATAATGTTTCCACTGCGAGTAAAATGGATGATAAAACAGGGTATGTGATACCTTGTGATTGACAGGTTGCTACCACGGCATCAACTGAGGCTGATAGGGATGTCATCAGTTTTGCAAAGATCGATGTGTAGCTTTGTGACTTAAATGTAATGGTCAATCATAAGATGCACACAACACTGACCACGCAATCTCTTTGTCTCTTGATACAGTTGCCATAAATCTTATAGTTCAGCACATCCAGGATATTCTGAACGGCGGTTTGACCAAACGGCTGAACGGGTGGCTAAATGTTAATGGAACGACGAAGAAGCAGCCAAACATGGAGTCCAGCAGTCGGCCCCACTGAGTACAGCGCTCCCCGAAGAGAGGAAGGAGGGCTCAATGAGCCGTATGTGTGCTACATTGTGGCTAACAAGGCAGGACTAATTTCCAGGGACACAAAAGGCCTCTTTTTGATATGATTCTGTTTGGACTGACGAAACGAATCAAAGGCAAAATATCCCTTTTGTGGAGATTAAATCTGTATTCAGTTATATATTTCTCTTCAGTTTGTGTACTGTATGATAAAAGGGATGGGGAGAGATACAAAGGGGCTACCTTACAATTTAATTTAATATTGCTGCTTGCCTTTACCACAGCACTGACGAAGCAGAAGCCGTCACGGTGTCTAAATAAGATTTCAGAACACCGGACAGCCTTTAACCATACAATGAATGCCGTCAAGCGACATGCTGCTCAAAGGCAAGGCCTTACCCTGTCTCCCTACTGTTAGAAGGTGCACTGTGTGACCTGACTAATTCCCTTTATCAATGCAACTTGTCATCTGTTTTTTCTTTTCAAGCTCTGTATAAATCCTAATTTGACTTGTACAAATAGATTTTGAAAACGATGTACTTAATGGTTTGAGATTTCAGATGTTTGTCTCGTCGCTTTGTCTCGTCTACATCTAACAAACTGAATTAGTTATTAGTCAATTTAAACAACCGATTCCCACCTCAAACCATCTGATGTATGAAATCACCAAAGATCAATTTCTGTACTGTCCTTGTGGACGAATTGATTTTTATTTCAATGTGATACTGACGTTATCATAACTCATTTAATAAGATGTTATGAAATTTCAACAGGGTATTATTTTTCTTTTGAGTCCCATAAACTTGAATACTCAGATGCGTTTGTATGCAAGTTTAATTTGAAAGACGCACTGAAAATGGTGTTTCTTGATGCACAGAGTTGTTTAAATGTCAATATGTACAAGATGCCCAATGTAAATGTGCACTGTAGGTGTTTAATGGGATTTTTGTCCTGCGTACATTCTCTCATGATAAAGTTCTCAGGTACTCCTTGTTTGCTTGAGTTGACACGTGTCATTTGCATTTAAAAATATAAATGTATTTTCAGACAATGGACTGTTTTCCTCTTATCTACATATTAAAACGTAAATACCACAAGCTTGGTGACATATTGTAGATGCCAAGACAAGGTTAAACAATTAAAATACTTTTAAGTTCCTAATAAGAGTGAGGTGGTCACAATGTGGCTGTTGCTAACTTAGAGGCCACTGAAGTCATTCTTCCTTTGTGTGAATTTGGGTGTTCGTGCATTATTCCAAGGTGGTCAGCCTCGCTGCTAAGCTTGCAGCCGGTTAGCTTCTTTTGTTTTATGTATTGTTAGCTGAAATAATTCATAATACTGGAGCTGGTTTTGATGTAATTGCAAGTGGTGGTGCATTTGCGGCCGTGTTGTTGACATGACTGTAGTCTGAGATAGTGTCGGTAATTCCCGGCTTCTCTGACTCAAGTCGGAGGCTGACATTGACATTTAAGTGAAGTGATGTGAGCGTGGCAAATGACAAGTCGAAATGTCTACTATGAAAAAGGCCTATGCAGTATTTTTATTCTAATATATTTAAATTCGACTACTTGTTGGCCAACATAAATGCACAAGAATGTGTAATTGTTTGTCCACGAGTTTTATTCCTGACAGTGTGTCGAAACAACATTTGCGACCTTCATGTTGAGAATAAAAAAAACAATTGCAGAAAATGCAATTCAACTTTTGATTAAATACTAAAATCCAAATATTGAGGAAAGTTTTTGAGGCCTCATTTTTGGTGTCTGGTCAACATATTCAGCTATGAACCTGTAATGCATGCAAGGCCACAGATATACAGCGATGACCCATATCCATACTTAGTCTAAGCAGGGTTTCAGTTTGGAGTGTGTTCACACAGGAAAAGTGAGAAAATTATAATCATACATAAAAAATAAAAACTCAGGGTGCATTCCAATACCCATACTGCCATATTATTTAGTATACCAGCAAAATATTTAGTATGTCCCAATATGTAGTGTGTAAATGTCTTCTGATCCACAATCCTCTGCGCAGCGGAAGAAATGTCACATCAACTGAGTCCCAAAGACAGATGACAGCCTGATAGCTTATTGAAATGTAACGCTACAGACCGCAAGGCATACAGCAAGAGGGTCAAATTTCAAGGTGCAATGTTCTGACAAAGTAGTGTGTCCCAAATTTGTTTGTATACTGCATGTATGCCACAGTACACACTTTGTAAGGGTAGCTGCAGTTTGTACTAAGAGAAAAAAAGAATGTGATTTGGTACGCATTCTTGATTTTTTTTTTTTATGTGCTGTAGATGGACATTATTCTCCCACAATGCAATGCACACATGGAAAAGGAGCTGCTGACAACTGGAATTTGTTTCATTTATTGTGAAACATCTCACAAAACACAAAATAACTTTCAGTGGAAAATAATTCCGGTGTTTGTCTGAACTTTATTGCCAGTGACATCCTGAAATAGCAGTTTTACGACGGAAGTATTCTATCATTCTCTGTTAGTATAGTATAGTATAGTATAGTATAGTTTGTATTCATTTTTTGTATACTAACTGGAAAAACAGTATACTACGAAGACAAATATACAGTTTGTATGTTGTATGGAATTGAGTCACAATATACTTAAAAAAAAAAAAAGGTATAATTTGTACACATTTTACTTGAATCAAATGGGACTTGGTGACAGAAGAAAAATTGATACATTCACTTTTTTCCTTGAAATCCACTTAACGCACTGTCGTTTCCACCAAAACAAAATGCATAGATACTGAAAATGCCACTCGGCATAAAAGGTATTTATGAGGAACTGTATGTGCCATACAAGTCCATATTCTGACTAAGAGCAGGCCCGCACAGACTGCTGCTCGGCATCATTTGAGGTTTGTGAAGAAAGGCACTGTTTTGTTTACATCGTGGCACTCCGGTATGTGCTCCTCATGAGTACCTCCTACACGTCACTCCCTAACTGTGGACTTCTGACCAAAGAGGCCGCGATACACTTCGCTGCGTGCCTCGTCACTCACTGAGCTGTGGTCAATAGGAGCCATAAAATTGACCAGCTTGCTGTGGATGTGGAATCGGGTTTTACGCCCCTTGCTGGCTTTGGTATCCACCTTCTTCTTGATCTTGCTGCGCAACTTCTGGATGGCCAGCCACTGCCTGCCCATGGCAACCTGGTCATTGGGGTCCGCAGCACTCGTCCTGCGCTCAATCAGCTCTCTTAGCAGCTGGTGGTAGAAATCGTCGTCGTCAAATATATTCTCGTCCAGATCAGTTAGATGCGTGTTTGCTTTCAGCTGCTGTTCCAGCTCTTCTCCCTCTATGCAGACGGTTTCAGAAGTGAGAGCAGCGGCCTCTTTTTTCCCCAGGACCCTGTATTCCGAGCGTCGGGTCTGGGTGCGCCGCACCAGCCTCTCATTGTCCATCAGCACCTGCTCCACCTGCGTCAATATGTTTCGGTCGAACGCACCGAAACCCTTGCTGCTTTTGCCCATGATCAGTCTGGTTTTGTCATGCCACTTTTGCAACGTGGCGTTATTGTAAGGCTGGAAAGCGGCAAAACGTTTGGCCATAAAGTCTGGATATTCAGCCATCTCCAGTTTTCGTTTCAGCGCTCCACCCTCTGGCACGGACGCCTCTTCATCCTCCATCTCATCACTGTTTATCTCCTCACCTTCACCCTGAGCTTCCGTCTTCCCCAGCGCGATAGTTCTCGTGTCTGCATTCTGGTACAGCAGCGGATCGTGCAGCTCCAGCAGGGATCTCTGGAGAGCTTTCAAAGCTTTGTGGGTGTTCTTCAGCTCCCCCGCAAGTTCGGCTCCACCCCTCCTCTTGAACTCCGGGAAGGTCTGCGTCTGTGGAAGCTGGTTGGCGGTCACCAGAGCTTTCTGGATCTTGATTCGACCCTCGAGCAGTTGGTCCCACAGGGCCAGCTGGTCCTTCACAGCCTTCCCTTTCTCAACCTCCATGTCTACTTTCTCTTGAGAAAATGTGCGGACAGTTCCCTCATCCACGGCGTCTTCGTCATCATCGCTGCTTTCACTCTCCTCCTCGCCATTTTCATCATCATCATCTTCTTCACTCACACCAAGGTCATCCATGTCCTCTGACAGTTTGTGGAAGTCCACTCCCTGAGGAAGGGTCATGTCTGCACCCTTTGTCTTTGAGGCCAGTTTAACATTAATGCCCACCAACTCCTCGTCATCTTCGAAATCGTTTTCTTCATCATCTTCATCATCATCATTAGCTCCCTCATCTCCCACAGAATCCACTTCTTCTAGCTCTTCTATGCTGCCCTCCTCCTGCTCCTCCTCCTCATCATCATCATCATCATCATCATCATCATCAGATGCCTCAATGTCCATCAGCAGCTGATCACGAGAGACCGTCTTCCCCACATACCGTCTGTCCGTTTCTGAGAGTAGGGATGTGTTGTGCTTCCGCAGGGCACTGAGGCCGACCCCATCTTCATCCTCGTCCTCATTGAATCTTTCCACCACTTTGGCTTTGGTCGCCTCGTCGCCGTCATCCTCTGGATCAGCAAATTTAGGCAAAGGATTCAACAAATCCTCAAGCTCAAGAGAAAAGGAGCCTGCCATGGATTAGAATGAACGACAACCACCACACGTGTAGGAGCCGTGTCTTTGCGAGTGAAGTGATGACGTCAGTAATATGCGACGACCGATAAACACCGGGTGAGATAATCCCTGAGCAAAGTCTTTTTCATGCAGAACCTCTCCTTAGAGAGGAAAGTTTGGGCCCACAAGTTATCTAACTAAATATATACAACAGATATGATTGGATATTTTGCCATTTTGAAGAAGGGGTTGAGCAGGGAAAGTGTGTATGAATTAATTTCAGGGATAGTAACCTAAGTACGTCCATAGAATAGTAAGAACCTCCTGAGAGACAAGATACGGGGCATGAGAGCCCTAACAACCCGTGACCATCTACGCATGCGTACATTGGTGGCGACGCACAAGGCTTCTTCCTATCTGAGTTTTGTTCGCGGGCTCGACTAAAGAGAGTACTTTCTGGAGAGTCAAGATGTCAACAAGTGACTTCTATTTGAGATATTATGTCGGGCACAAAGGAAAGTTTGGACATGAGTTTCTGGAATTTGAGTTCAGACCCGACGGTAAGTACAGTTTGGCTGGTAACGTTAATGCAAATGAGTTAGCTAAGACTAAGCTAACGTCGCTAGCAATCCGGTAATGGCTAGGCCGCAGCGTACTCGAGACGAGTTGCGAGCCCAATATCGTCTCTTTTGTTTCACCTTTATTGTAACTTGAATGCAAATAGTTAATGTCTAGACTTAATTAATAAAAGCAAGACATATTTATTATAAATGCAGTGATAATTTGTGAAATGCCTCATACCATATGAGCGCCATGTGGCCTGTAGGGATGTTAACAAACTGAGTTTTGTTAAGTTTTGCATTGTTTCAAATATTTACTGTAAATTGAACGTTTTCTTGCAGGTAAACTGAGGTACGCAAACAACAGCAACTACAAGAATGACGTCATGATCAGGAAAGAGGTAAGTTAGTGTTTACAAACAAGTTAGTGTAAACCCAATCATTTGTAGTCCATGCTGTTTGGGTTTCTTTCATTGTCGTCCATGGACACAGTATAATGGCACCGTCGACATACGAACCATATATTTGACTAAATTGTGAGATGTCAGGTTCTTTTATCCAACATTGCATGTAACTAGGGGGGGGGGTGTTGTGGTCATTCATTAAGGGGCTTGATAGTGATGGTCAACCGAGCAGAAAGATTCATTGTTTCTCAGTCGAAACACAGTGTGTAGCATACAATTCAGACCTTAATATTAAGATAATTAGTATATCTCAGATGTATATGTCCTATATTCTCCCGTCATATCTGTTATAAATGTACGACCCAGCTCCGTGCATTTACAAAGTTTAACCATGTTCGTCTTTGCTCTGTGTACCAACCCAGGCATACGTACACAAAAGTGTGATGGAGGAGCTGAAGAGGATCATCGACGACAGTGAGATCACCAAGGAAGATGATGCTCTGTGGCCGCCTCCCGACAGAGTTGGCAGACAGGTTTGTGACCCAATCATCAATCATCAGTGACCAGATTATGTTTACCCATCATCCCCCCCCAGTTCTGTATATTGGTGTAGTTTTTCACACTGTTGGCGTTGCACTGCATTCTGGGAGCTGTCAGATTTTCCGACCTCAATGGAAATGTTTTTTTGTCTTTGCCTGATGTGTTTTAAATGGGTCACAATTTTGTATAGCACATGTAGAGGACGGCACCTTTCCATATTTGATCAACCAGTTGATTTTTTTTTTTTCATTGTTGATCACATGGACATGGAGTCTGACACGTCACAGATGTTGTCAACACTGGCGCTGTAGTAAATCAACTTGGATTTGACCAAAAACATAATTGAAGCCTTAAAATCACTCGTCTGTCTTTGTCCTAATTTTCACAGGAACTGGAGATCGTCATTGGGGACGAGCACATTTCATTCACAACTTCCAAAATTGGCTCTTTGATTGACGTCAACCAGTCAAAGTAAGTAATTTATCCAGTGGTGGTGAAAGTAGACACCGTATACTTCTTACTTACACTCATACTTTTAATATTGCACTGTGTTCCAGGGATCCTGAAGGTCTCCGCGTGTTCTACTACCTGGTGCAAGATCTGAAGTGTCTTGTATTCAGTCTCATCGGCCTCCACTTCAAGATCAAGCCTATCTAAATGTGGATTTTGCTCTTTTTAATTGATTTAGCTAATGTTTCTGTTGTATTACTGCATTTGTACATTTGCTTTGAGTGGAACTTTTTTATTTTAAATAAAGGGTGAGAGAAATGTACTACTTGTCTAAGCTACTCGTAATATTTCATTACAAGTGTCCTTTACTGGTATTAACACCATGGCTTAACTTTTATTTATATACTTTATAGTATATATTCTATATTTTTATTCTAGTGTGGAAAAAGGTGTGTATGTTTTGAGACCAGTTTTGTCAGAAATCCCTTTAAGGTGTAACCCAGTCAACATCTTAGTGGAAAATATTAGAAGATAATAAGTCTAGACATTATTTCCTGTTATATAAAATTACCAACAGGGAAGGTATATCTTTCAGTGTCCTTGTAATGACTTCAAGTTTAAAAAAAAAAAAAAATGATCCAGGGCTTTTTTTTCAGAAAAATACCCCAAATGTTGTCTGCAGAACCACTTTGAATATTTCACAAATGGCACAATTTGAATCTTTTAAATACATGTAGAAATGTCTTATACCCATAATTCCTTATTTGATAAGCTGCTGATGATATTTAGAGCATTCACTCAACATGGCCTGTAGTTGCTCCACAGCGGCCGCTCAGTTGTCTTTGAAGATCTCATTAAGAAAAAAACAATACAGCTAAGCCGTCGTCCCAGGAGTGCTCATAATGGATGGCTGCTTGTCCATCTTTGGTCAGAATGACTGAAGGACTTGTCAAACCACCGGTTGCAGCATGTTGTGGGAGATGTGGATGTGGTCCTTCATGCTCTCATCGTCAGGTGACGTCAGTAAGTCCTTGAGGGTAGAGGGTTTGAGGGTTTAGGGGGGACATTGGGATTGGGCCTAAGAGACTTGGGATGTACCCGTCGACTCATTTTCTCTCTCGCGTACTGAGTCCCACCCCACAAGAAATGCGAGCAGAGGAGGTGAGGAGACACGAGTCGAGGCAGCAGTCAGAGCGTCACTGTAAAGCGGAGTCAATTAAATATGGTGTGGTCTTAACAGTCTCTTGGTGAGGTACAGCTGTACTGTGCTACACTTAGCTACTCGTAAAGTGTCCTTTGCTGGTATCAACACACTGGCTTAACCTTTAATGAGAATTTTATAGTATATATATTCTTTTGTGTCAAAATGCATTTATCAACAAACATTTCTGAAATAATGGAGCTAATGTCATTACAATTTTATTTCAAAATACATTCAAACATCAATTAGAAGTTATTACAGTGACAATCAGCAACTGCTCTGCTGAATTCACATTTTGATAAGACAGAAGTTGACTTCATACTCTAATCTGTATTGCAGAGAAGTTCTACATCTGTGAAGCCATGCTGCAGACATATTACTAGCACTTTGAATGTTGTCACCTCTCACTGTATAATGTCACCCTAAAACAAAAACACAGCTAACAATTAAAATCAGACTAAAGTACACTACTGACTTAACAGATGAAGTCTTGCAAAGACAGTTGATTGAATCTGTTTAAGTGGAAAGTAAATTTTTCCAGTATTTTAGGTTAAATGTGTTTGTTTATTATACAATACATCTCATGGCTTATGCCTGCATTCAAAGGTTTACAATATAATTTGTTTTCTATTACATCAATTTTGATAAATTAACAAGATCCCTTGTTTTAATACCCATAGTAATATCCAAACCCCTTTAAAGAACAGGTTTAAATTGTCAACCATCAAATTAATGAAAATAGAAATACATATATAAGCACTGCAATTCTCCTTGTGTTTATTTTCTGGTGTATTAAATATTCATATTCATCTCACTTACTGCATTGTTGCCCAGAGAAGTTAATCAATCACCACTGTTCCATAAAATCAAACATTATTGATGACAACCACTTGTTTCTTAGCCGAGTGTCTTTCCCTCCAGGACAGTGAAAATGTCCTCTAAGGACTTGTGGACACACTGCAGGAATTCATGGACGTTGCGAGCCGGGTAGCTGGACACATTGCAGCCGATCCAGTCGTCATGGACGCCATAGCCAACGCCAAAGCCATCGGGCACCACCGGGGCAAAGCCACCAAGATTCACAGCTGGACTGGTGAGGGTGCTTGTGGAGAGGATGTTGTGGTTGATGGCGGCGTAAGCTGGGTCTGAGTAAAGGCTGTGCAGAGCCTCGTTCTTTGAATTAGCCAGGTATCGCAGGGCAAACAGGTGACGGTCAAAACCTTGTCCTAGTGGGAGAAATAAAATAAGTAGTTAGTACAGAAGATCAGAAGGTGTGTGTGTGTGTGGGTGGGTGTGTTTTGAGACTAGTTTTGTCTGAAATAGCTGAAACAGACCCCAAAAATATGTGTGCATGACCACTTTCACAAATTGTAAGTCTTATACGCACCCATAGCTGCTTCCTTGGTGAGCTGTCCATGATATTTGGAGCATTCTCTCAACATGGCCTGTAGTTGCTCCACACTGTGTTGTCCTGGCTGTAAAACAAAGGCGTGTGAACATCGTTTTGTGTGTATGGTGGCTGGCCGGATGGTTTCTGTGCGGCCATGCCTGAACGCTGCAGTGCTACAGGACTCATATGTGGCCACCGTCTGTCCGTACTGCCTCAGGAAAGCCATTTGAAAAGCCAGCTGGGCTACAGCATCTGGACTAATCTTGCTCTTCTTCAACTGTGCCTTGCCACCTTTCTTAAACTCCATGGCATCAATGGTGAGTGTCGATACGCTTGAGTCAAAGTTCTCCTTGGCTGTTTTGATGCCATTCTCCAGCTCGCTGTCCAGGTTGAACTGCAGTCTGCGCACAGCAGAGGCTGAATCTACAGCAGCAGCAGCGGAGCCCGGGTTTACCAGCGGCCGCTCCGTTGTGTCTTTGAAGATCTCATTTTGAACGCGAAGTACAGCTACACCGTCGCCCCAGGAGTGCTCAAAATTGATGGCTGCCTGTCCATCTTTGGTCAGAATGACTGTGAAGGACTTGTCAAACCACCGGTTGCAGCCGTCGCCGTGCAGCATGTTGTGGGAGATGTGGATGTGGTCCTTCATGCTCTCATCGTCCAGACTGAGACAGAAAAGGGCACTGTCAACAATCCTTAAATCCTCTGCGTTTCCAGCAGCTATCAGCTTGTCCCTCAGCCCGGCCCACACGTCCCTGTTCTCACTGGTAAGGACGCCGAGAGGAAAGGCAGCCGCTGGCGTTGGGTCGCACAAAATGTACTTCAAGTGGGACTGAATCTCTGCAGGCTTCACCAAATTCCCATCCCTGTCTACAATGTCAAACACATACATGTTGCCTTTCCTCATAACTAGGAGATGTCGCGCTTTCTCATCGGTGAAGAGCTCATCTCTCCCCCTCTTGGGGATCCGAGTTGAGTTGAAGAGGCGAAAGTACTGAGACATGTCCAGGGGGTAAGCATTCACCATGTACGCTCCATACCAGGACAGTGAAGACGGGACCCAGCGGATGAACCTTTTGAAGCCGTCTGTGTCACTCTTTGCCGGGTTGAGGTGGAAAACCTCTGGCTCCAGTAATCCGGCTCGCAGTGTTTTCATGAAGCGCACTGCTGAACACACCACGTTGGTCGCCCGCACAAGCTGCTCATTGTACTCCGTCTTGGGGTCAGGATTGAAGGACATGAAGGGGTTGAAGTTCAGCACCACAGAGTCACGAGCAGACAGATACATGTCAAACCATGGTCCTGAGAGAAAATAAATCAAACAGATTCATTAGCGATTGTTTGAGATGCTCAATATTAGGGTGGCAAGTAAGAATGACACACTCACCTGAGATGTAGCTTGTGTGTTTATTGTTTTTGTCCTGAGCTACCAGTTCCTCATGTAGCTGTTTCCCCACACCGTTCTGGAAATCCTGTGCAATTTTCTCTGTTGTTCTAAGGATAGAAGGTTTAGATTGTTGCCAGTAAGATTCAAGTAGTAAGTATTGACCAGTAAGTTTCAAATAACCTTTTTTAAAAGGTTGATTTTCCCTCTGAAAACTCACCTGAACTGGTCATCATCCAACAGAGGCCTCTGTGTAGCTAAGTACCTCCCGACAGTGTCCTCCAGCTTTGGTATGGGTAGTCTAAACAATTCAAAAAACGAGTGAACAAATGTAGCCTCTGAACAGTCCAGTAAATGTGACATGTCAGTAGATGTCATGCAAACGCCCCCTAGTGGTCACTGACCTAAAACCTCAAGTGTGCTCTTTCACCTACATTCATTATTAACTCGGAACACCTTGCTACCTCCACCTGTCATTTCCAAGGTAGTTTAGATTCAAACTAGACCAAAATCATGTTGGTTCAAAGCTAAATGTTGACGGTAGAGTAACGTGATAAATGCGTCAGACATTCGGTTCCTTACCTGGGTAAACTCTTCTGGTAATGCATCGATGGTACAACACTCTGGTTCAAATACTCGGTTGAAGACCCCTTTTTGCTGCTGTAGTGTCGCGTATTGATGCCCAGAGCAGCAGCTCTTAAATGAATTCCGGATTTCCTCAGAGAGGCAACACATTGCATTGGAAGCGGACTGGCCATGGTGCTAGCTAACATACTGAACACCCAACTAGTTATCAGGTTATTGACGACGTAAAGCACACCAGCTGAAGCTAACGGATACAAGTCAAACCTAAAGATACATCCGAGTCTCAGCAACTAGAACTGGCTAGTAAATATATAAACTCCACTCCCGACTTGTTACAAAAAGAGTTAAAATGATAGATTAGAGCAACAATCAACAACTACTAACTGAATTGACAACAGGAAGTTTAACTTTAAACACGTCACGTGACTTCTTCTTCTACGCCTACCTACCGGGCAGCGTGTCACCTTCCTCTATACAGTCTACACATGCGCAGTGTGACTGGAGCTTTGACGTTTGGAGGTTACAGCGAGAGCCGTATAATCACGCAGCTAGACACCAGGAAGTGCGTCTGCCTTTGAGGCTAATTTTACATTGTCGCCAAACAGTGGATTTATTTTCGGATCCGTCACGTGATAACATGGGGCTCAGAAATACTTTTTTACTTACATTGGGTCTGTAATTTCTTTTAGGTAAATCAACTTCCCAGTGCGAACACATGAATATCTTTATTTAAATAATTACGTACTAAAATATGCAAAATGCACTTATAGCCGATTCCAGAATTATTTTCCTACCTCTGACCAACGAGGCTCCATAATGCAGAAGATCCGGGTATTTCTATCAGAATGAATTGGACTCAACAGAAGAAGATCCAATAATTGAGGTTTACATAGTGGAGATGCTGTCAGTGTTGGTTCCACTCAGATGGGTGGAAACAAACAGACATGATGCTGATTTACTCAGACTTAGCCCTAGTAACTTTACAGTCTTAGCCTTTGAGATATACTGTATTTAGTGCTTTAGTGCCACAAGGATAACAATTCAGGGAGGTCAGGTAAAAATCCTGTGGGTTCCAGTGCATAGGGGTGAGGGTGGATGAGTTGGCAAACAGGGCTTTAAATACAAAAAAAGCAAATTAGTACAAGTTAGACAGAGGTCGAGTGTCTAAATTGGGGAGAAATCAACGATAGTGGCAAGACAGGTTGAATAGAGACTGGAAAGGGAGGGATCTACAGTATATCAAATTCAAAAGAGTGTTAACATTACCAGGGTAGAGAGAGGAAACTGTTGACAAGGTTAAGGTTGGGACATTATGCACTAAACTAAACACTGAAGATGATAGGGAAACACCAGACAGGTTTGTGGGAGGGATGCTGGGAAGGGGAGTCAGTTGTCAGCATGTAGTTCTGCAGGAATGCATGAAAGATTTTTTATAGGATATGATAGATAAGCAGGGACAGGGTGTTAGGGTGGTTGTCATGGACTGGGATTTTATAGCAAAGACTAGAGGGTAAAACGTGTGTGTGTGTGTGTGTGTTTTAATCTATTATCTGATCCACATTCTATATCTATACCTTCTATTTGTATCTGATTCAACTTAATATTCACCATCATTCAAAATGCAAGCCACAAAAACCCATTGTCATTTTGACCGTGAGCATAATTACCCCTCAGATGTGAAGTAATTTACAGAGGAAGGCTGAACTCAAAAAGTTGCATTATCATTACCATGCAGGTATTGATAATGATTATGCAACTTTTTGAGTTCAGGCAGTAACCAATAGTATGTTCAATGCAAACATACCGCATGTAAAATCAAACGTGCAGTATGACATTTAAAAAACACATTCACAGGTTAAAATCTTAACATTTTATGATGCATTGTGCTGAAAAAGTGTAAATGCTCATGGCTCACTTGCTGTGAACTATGCATTTCTACTATGTGGTCTTGTGGCCAGCAGAGTGCAGTGTTTTCCTGATGTATAAATTAATATCACTAAGCTGTGTAAAACCCCAGGTCCAGTTGCCTGGCTTCTTCATGTCGGGTGAGAGTGATCGAGTTGGGGGCAGAGCTGCCATTTGACTGGTGAGATTTTCTGATGTCTTCCTCCACTCATGCTGTGCACATTAAATGCAGTGTCAGAAATCAGGTCACATTTAAATTGGCTGTCTGATTGGATCATATCCAGCACATGTTGATATATATATATGCTTACCTCTTCACATTCTTCTCAGTCCGCATCATTTATAATGATTCCACAGAAGCTTGTGGGAACATTCTTGTAATAATTTACAGTTACAGGTTTTTCTATCGATTATTTGACTGTAATGCAAGATGTATGTGATAAGACATGCTTGGGACAGCAGCACTGCTTTTGCTAAATTCAAACCCAGGATAGCTGTCCAAACCTGATGTTACAGCACTCTCTCTGAGAGGCAGACAACACAATAGGCCTCCTCCCCCATTTCCACTTAAACCTTTTGGAACGCCATTAGCTATACTGTATAACTGTCAATAATATAGCTTATACACTAGAGTGCATAGGAATACCTTTGCTTAATTTTCACTAAATGCTTACTCAGATTCACCTATGTGGCTGTGAAATGAGCACAGCAATTAAATCAGTGTCTCTCCTGCCTCCAGGAACTATACAAGTGTCTGCAAGTGTTAGCTCCTTCAATACAATTGTTGAATGTATGCTTTATTTTTTCTACAAATGTATACTTCAGTTGTGTAATCCATCACAGTTAAATATCAATATCTGTCTGTTACTTTATGTGGTTGTGCAGTTTAAGTGCACATGGATATGGTCATGATTTGAACTGCATCAATCAACTTTTGGATGGATTAAACAACTCAAGCAGGTTTCAAGAGTGTGCTCATTGATTTTCAAAACATACAGAGATGAATGGACACCAATGGCGGCCTGCAATGTAGAAAACAATACAAGTAAAACATAAACAAGTAGTATGGTTTGCAGAATTGTTGGTTGTGTGTTATGTAGGCTATTAAATGTAGATTTTAGTGACTGGGCTAAAACATGTGCAACAACTTAGATAGTGTATGACATAATGTAGCAGAGCTGTTGAATGAAACGTGGGTGTGTTCACAGTTACTCTGGGCTATCTGACATCGACACGTCGAGTCTGAAGATCAGTGACAGAGAGAAGAAACAAGGAAGTTTAGTTAGCAAACAGCAGGCAAAGTACAAGCTAGCTGTTGACTACATCAGTGGGTCTGTTAAACCTGCGACACAATCTGTCACCCTAACGTTACAGCAACATGCTCGAAATAAAGACACCGAGGTAAGCATGCTCAACAATGAATGGTTTTATTGTGACAAGTCGAGTTGCGCGTATTTAAATAAGTGCATTGAGGTCATCCTCGTTGTTCCAATTAACGCTAAATGTCAAACAAACAGCTAACGTTAGCACTGGTTGTAGCACACACGCTCTTTGTGTCGCTTCACCTGCCGTTAAACTGATCGTACATGATTGAAGAGCTGTTTGTGGACGACCGTCGGTGTTCTGCTACTTGGTTGTGTAATGTTAGCTTATCCTCAGCTAGACGCCGGGGGCAGAAAGATGGTGACATCCTGGATTTAGCCGTTATGCTGTTCGGACACGCCGCCTGTGAACCGTCGAGGCTGCGGTCTTGATGCACCTTTTATCCAATTTTGTGAAAGTGATAATTGGCTGGGCTTGGTGTGTTTTGTTGAGTCTCGTCAGAGTGTGTGACTAGTGGGTGGTATTTACGTGTTATGATCTGACATTGACATGAATGAACACATAACGTTAAGGTTCCTGAGATCCAGTGGCAAGAGTGTATAAGAATATACAAAATAAGTATCAAAGTAAAGTTTGATCAATACTCGTTTTGTCCATGGCAGCCATACAACGTTACGTTTCTGTGCTTTCATCACTGTTGTGTTATTGCTTACCTGCTCAACCTCATGCCTTTGCCTTCTAGGATTAAAGCCATTCACACCAGTGCTAGTGACGGACTGGAGGGGTTCAAGGCGCATGCTGTGTTCCAGGAAATCAACAAGAAGCTCCAGGAGGTGATTACATGACCTACAATAGCAGTCAATGTTGTTACTTGACTTTATATTATTATCACTTGTTATGGCTATGTATTCTCTTATTAGACTTTCATTTCAGTGGTTCTTTAAAAAGGGTTAAGGTAATTTTGTTTTAATTAATTTGTTGTACATTTCCTGAAGCATTCATCAATCCTTCTCGACATAAACAGTGTTTCTAAGCCAAGTTGATTTTATTTATACAGCCCAATATCACAAATCACAAATTAGCCTCAAGGGGCTCTACAATCTGGTCCACCCTTTGTCCTTAGAACCTCGATTTCGATCAGAACAAAAAGCCTTTTTATAGGGAACAAATGGAACAAATGGAAGAAACTGAAACAATTTGAAATGTTTTTAATAGAAAATGTCTTTGAATTGGTATCGTGTCACATATGAACGGATGGTAAGAACAATATGTGGCCTGCTGAGCTAAGTGACTATGAGCTTGTAATATATAGGTAGTGAATACTTAGTTTACATGTAATACAGATGCTGTAGGGTTTACTGTGTGTGTAAACGTTCTGTGTACTTTGAACAGGAAGGGGAGCAGTTTGTGAAGAAGATCGGGGGAGTGTTTGCCTTCAAAGTAAAGGACGGCCCAAATGGACAGGAGGCCGTTTGGTATGTGGACGTGAAGAACGGCAAAGGCTGTGTTCACAATGACGCAGGTAAACATTATCTGGCCTTTCTTATGACTCATATGACAGTGGGGAAGTTATAGACGCATGTACTCATGTTAATATTCAAATATGGGTGGAGGTTCAAAGTTCAAGGTCTGCACTGGGTATTTTTCTGCTCAATCTGTGTGTCATTTATTAGATGTTTACATTCCTTAACAATAAGTCACTGAAATACATATCCCTACAATGCATGTTCCAATCTTTTGAACTGAACTATGTGTATCTCTACCCTGCAGCTAAGAAAGCAGATTGTACCATTTCCACGTCGGATACAGACTTGTTGGCCTTGATGACGGGGAAGATGAACCCACAGACTGTGAGTATTCAATGAGGTGGACTCCTGTACTTCTAGTGTTGATGGTGATTCGGTTTCAGAGACGGTGCAAGTTTGTCCTTTACCTTTTTCCTTCCCAATGTAAAGGGGGGGGGGGGGAGCATTTAGATTGTCCCCGTCTCACCCACAATGTGCGCTGATAGGTTCACATTATTTGTGTCTCTACGCGCGTAGCATCCCACTGCGGCCATCGTGTTTGAGCCGCGGTCAGCATGTGCATTAAAACAGCTGTGGAGACGACGACATCACAAGCTGTCAAACCTCTTTGAAACTTGCTGTCATTATTGACTTATATTACACTTTACTTTGCTGTTATAGTCTAATGAGAGATGAAGACAAAATTGGACTTCAAGGATTTTCCTTTTTACTGGAACAAAAATGTCTACAACATTTGTAATAATCACATAAAATGAATTACAGCGACAGCCCAAAGGAAATGAATTTGCTCATATGTTGGCCAGTAAACAAATGAATAGATAAATGCACTATAGCGCATGCAAACACATGAAATAAAAGACCTGGCCTTGTGGAGCCCGTCATTGCGTTTCAATGCCCGGGACAGCGCAGCACCTGAGGCGCCCTCCACACTCAACAAACAGGGCTATCAGTCTGAGAACAGCTTCTCTAGTAGTTGAGGTTGATGCACGATGAATAATGCAGGATTAATATTCCTTATTTCATATATTGTTTCACGTTCCATTTGGGGTTATGCATATATTAGAAAAAACAACAACAATGCATTGGAATACTAATTTGGAAGTTGATTTCTCTGCCGATGATCGAAGCTTCGAAGCATTCGGGTCAGCGTTAGAAGAAAGCTTCTTGATTTGTCTGACTCGGGACAGCTAAAGCCTCACATTAGCTGAAGAATGTATTTAAAACGCTGATGATTCACCCCCAAGTCTCATCTCATCTCAGTTGACTCGCTGCAGTCTTCTTTTGTCAATCAATGTCATTGTGCCCAGAGCAAGTTCTTTGTTTGAAAATCAGCTAACTACAGAACTGCAGAGATAAAGAGTGATGAACTCTCTAATAAGGAGAGATGCTTCATGACTTTACAACTGAACTATGACCAGGATGCACACTTTGTATTTTGCTGACTGTGTGGAAATGGATATCTTCACGTCACAGATGATGGACAAAGGCATGAAAACGTCGGTCGTAAGCCATCATTATGTACGGATTCATCAGTAAGAGGTGACATGCGCACAGAACAAAATAAGGAAACGGCGGAAAAACCCTGATTCATAAAACCATCTGTACCCTCATGTACCACATAGTTCTTCCTTTACAAATCACAGTCGGCGTGAGTTGTTGCTCTATCACTGCTACAGTTCAACCAAACGTATTTATTCAGACAGAGGAAGAAACTAAATAAAATGGGAAGAGATTTATTTTTTAAAGCAACAGAATAAGAACCCTCTGAAGTAGTTGCATGTTGGTGACGTTTACATTTGACGTGTTCTTGTTTCATGTTTGAGCAGTCATGTGACAAATCCAATCCCCACGCTTACTTCCCCGATGTTTATGAGTGTATGCTGTCATATATTATTTGCCATAATTAAGACAAAAGTTTGACAAAAATGTAGCAAAATTCATCGCAGCTGTGAGTGTGTGTTTGGATATCAATGGGCAAAAAACATTTCATTTAAAATACAATGTGGCTGAGGTCTAAATTATTCAACAGCAACTTTGCCCTTTTCAACCGGTGAGCTTGGGCGGTGGCGACATGGAGGGAGGCCGGACGCTCTTGTGACACAGAGCCGGTTGGAAAAAAAGGTTACCATTGTCGTCCTCCTCCTTAGATAACAACAGCTGGGGCGGAGCCTACAGTCCTCTTTTAGCTCCGTATCTCCTGAAGCCAAAAAATGTCCCCTTGTGGGATTAATATAGTACCTATCTAATCTAATCTAATCTAATCTAATCTAATCTAAACTCTAACCCTAACCCACTTTTTAGCGGTCCAATCAAATATGATTTAAATCTCTCTTGTAACTGTACATCGCTCATATTCCGTTTCACTGTACAGAAGCTAAAGACCATCTCACTTGTGTTTCCCCGGGACTTTAAGTGTGTATGAATCTGCAGCTGAACTAGTCTCCAGTAAATGCACTATTTACTCCTGTGACGTTGCTATAAAAATACCTGCAGAGCCCATGTGTCTTGGGAAACGAGTCTGCCTTTTAAGAAAATGAAACAACATATTTGCATTTAAAGGTTTTTGTCAGCAGCAGGAACAAATGGGCTTCGGCCTGAGAGCCACCAACAGGTGATGGAAGTTGGAAAACACTGAGAAAGACTGATGCGCGTTTGTTTTTGTCAATTCATGGGATTTGTTGCCGGTAAGAATAATATCAAAATGACGCTATCTATTCCTTCTAGATGAGTCTCAAATTACACAGTAGGGGTCAATATAATTTTGTGAGGAACATCAAATTTGATTTAGTCTTGCAATTGGTAATGCCAACATGTTCTCCATTTCTCTTTTTTGCAGAATTTGCAAATACAAATCTTTTCCGTGAGGAATCTCATCTCTAATTCATGCCTCTCTGTCTTGATTTCCATTGCTGCCTTTTCTCTGAATTGTTCTGTGCAAAAGCAGTAAGTCATCAGGCCCGCCAAGGTCATTCGTACTGGAAGAGTGACGTGATGACACGCCTCTCTGCCAGCACTCCACAGCGATCACATGTATCAGGAGTCCCTGTCGCTCCACTGTGCTCTTGGAATGAAGGAACAGCTTCGCACGCTCCAAGAACACCGTTTCTCTGCTGCTTCATCCCTCGTCATTTAGACATTCTGACCGGTTGACCTTTTTTTAAGACAAAAGCAAAATTGAAAAGTTTTCATTTTCCTTCTGAGAACCAAATATTCTAAGAATCTCTGCTCACTCAGAGTCAATTCGTCACCTCCTTTATTCCAGCCCACGGACATTATTCCCCTCTTACTCTGCCCACTCTGTGCCTGTGTGCCATGCAGTTTCCTGACATGTCATAAGCTGTTGTTGCTGCTGCCCCACTTTCCCTGGGTTGAGTTAATCTCTCACGGTAACTCTTAAAACTAGCAGCGTGTAGTCTGATACCGCCTGACTGACGTTTCTTTTCTTTTTTTTTTTTCCCACCATCTCTGACTCTCAGGCGTTTTTCCAGGGCAAGCTGAAGGTCACAGGGAACATGGGACTGGCCATGAAGCTTCAGAGCCTGCAGCTGCAGCCGGGCAAAGCCAAGCTGTAGATGAGACGTCGGGAGCGAGCCGTAACTACACCTCTGTAGAACTGAACAGAGTTAACCACGAAGAATTTAACAGCAACTCTGGTTTCAGCTCGATGTAGAAGGTCTGCGAGGCTTGTCGTCACAGGAATGAACCACTTTCCCTACCCGCGACCTCGCTGACCGACCAGGGGATTAGTCAGCAGCCCTGCCAATGTAACTGGAGAACATGTTAGATGGACTAACAATGAATCCTCTAATCACGTCCCTCTTATTATATCAGTACACTCGAGTAGAGAAAGATGCTCCCTACTTCTAGATACTAATTCAGTTTGTGTCCAGTTTTCAAATCTTTCTTTGGGTGTATTGTGTCTGGAAATGTTTTGAGTAGAGCAGATTGATTGTCATTTTCCACAATCATGGACACAACAGTCTAAGTGCCTCCTCGTCTCAGACTTTCAGTTTGCTCTAAGGTTTTTAAGCCAACAACATAGAAATGTTTTTCACTGTGTGGCTGCCCAGCGTTTCAACAGGGGGGGGGGGGGGGTTGTGATTTCCTGCTGTACTATCGTTGTAAGAATCTCTAAAAGATTTCTAAGAAATAAATTTGCCTGCAACTTCCATTGTGTGGTCTTGACTTGGGTCTGTTGTTCTCGAGCAGTTATTGAGTTTAGCACACACCCTTGACTTCATGTTTCTAATCATTTTGAACACATAAACACAACAGCCGGAGTAGTTCATCTGCGAAATGGCACACAAATCTTAGACTTAACAACATGCTGACCCTGATTTTTAAGATGAGGGCTTCACGACTGGGCCTGCGTTTGTTCTGCTCTTTGGAGGACCTTGCACTTTTCCAACACTGCTGCGACCTTGTTCCAGACTGCCACGCTGTAGTTTTTCCTTTTGTAAACGGGGGGAGCATGGCTGAGCGACAAATCTGTTAACTAGCTCTGACCCAGATTCCACTGCAGCTTTGCTTTGGCTCTGGCACTTTCACTCCGTAGTCGCGGCGGTGTTATTTCTTTGGTCACTAATGACTTCTTTTGTGCATGAGTGAAATTTCATCTATCTTAGATTTAAGTTTGATTAGGAATGTTGGCATCAAACCTTTATTTATAACAAGTAGAATAGATGAATTCTTTAGAGGCTGATTTTAAAAACGTGTGGTAAAAAAGGCTGAAAGAAATTGTCGAAATACAGATGTTTTTCTCCAACTTATTTTCCACAAGATGAGAACTTAAAGTCGCAGTCCACCAATTTTACTCATTGGGTTCACATAATGTGTTCTGTGGCTCTGGAGGAGTTTTGTCTAATCTTGACTTTGACTTTGAGACAAATCATAACAGAAAGCCTGTAGTGCCAAGCGGGAATTTTAACAGCGTGGGTGTTTATCGGGAAGAGAGGGCTTATCAAAAGATGCTATTGCAGTCAGTTGCATTTTGAGAAATATAGGACTCATTGTTTTTAGAAGCAGGCCATACAAGGGGGGCCTAAAAGTCCTACCAGCGTTTAATGTACTGTGATACTATGCATTATTTCTGTAAATCATCTTCCATCATGTCTCTGCTTGCTCTGTCACAAGCCTGTCTCCTACAAAAAAACATTACGTTTGCCGATTTAAACACTTTTTTTTTTAAACAGTTCGAAACACGTGGTCGTAAATTGAAACAAAAGAAAACAAATCTGCGACATAGTCATATAGGACATGAACAGCAGTCTCCTGGGTAAAAGCACTGTGTTTGTGATCAATCCAACAACCCGACCCCCTCCCTAAGCAGACTTCCACACACTCATTTGAAACATATCTGTTTTTCTGGTCAAAACACGCTTCCCTCGAAACTAGCATAGTTCACAATGCAGTTTCGCTGTATGGGAACGTCATTTCTAGGAGACCGGGCTGTCTGTTGTCACCATGACCCCAGCCTGATTAAAATGTTTGCTACTTTCTGAGAGTTATGTAACACAGCAGTGGCTCAGCTTGTATACACGTCATTGCTGTCCTGGGAACTGATTATCTGCAGCAAGATGTGCTGTGTTGTACGTTTGCTTGCAATATACTAACCAACAAATAGACTGCCTGCTGTAGATGCTGCATGGTGTAATAAATGTCACACTTGTGGGATTAGCAGAGTTGTTTTAACAGTGATGACTAAGAGGGCAGCAACTGAGGAGCTTTACACTTTTTGCATTACAAACACACTGGTGTGTTCGACTGGGTGGGACTCGAAACCTTGTTTCGTGGTCTGCTTTTACATGAGACAGGAAAGCTGCCCTTTTAAAGAGCGGGGCTCAGTGGAAAATAGTTTGTCCAAGTAAAAGATGAAAAGAATTGGTTCATACAAATGCAGACAGGACCAGGCAATATCCCAGCTGTAATTGATTGAACTGTAAACAAAATAGTATTATGTTGCGGCTGTTTGACCATTTGTCCATGCTTTAACATGACGGGGGGGCAGCAGTGTCGGTGTCTTTTTAATAGCTCGCACGATCCCTGCTGTTCTGTGTCACATATGAAACATAACAACTTGTTGAAAACAGTTGTAAAAGGAACCTGTTGGAGGGGCCATTGCTTTAAGAAAGTTGTCCAAAATATGTTCCAGTGAAACAGTGGAAACTTACTCAAAGCGTGACGCAGTGACCAGAGTCCCTCTGAGGGTAAAAGAGCCTGCCAAAAAATATGATGAGTAATAAGCAGAGCATGGATCCGAGTGTGTTTTCTCCCATTTCAGGGTGGGGGGGGATTCAAGGCCAGAAATCGAGGTCTGCCTCTCTCTGAAAACAGCAGCTCAGCAGGCATGTGATCTCTAAGTGATGCTCCCAAAACCCCATCACTCTCACTAACCGCAAGGGACCCAGTCCAATATCTTCCTCCCCGGGCCAAGCATTCATCACTGTCTTCATTCCTGTCTGCACTCGCTGTCTGCAGTTCCAGCACAAATAGCTTTAAGCCGGAGATTTATATTCCAGAAGACAACACTAGAGGCTTCAATTTCAGATGTGAGTGGAACTCGACCGATAAATGTAGCAAATGGACACTTTTAGCATTCTTCTCATAGATTAGTAATAGATGACGCAGCCTTTTCCTTGAAATATAAGAAATCAATCAAGTTTAAGCTGCTTTTTAGAACATTAATAGAAAACAATCTGGATATCTCTGGGCAAATTAGGGACCCATAAGAATGGAAAAAAAAAAAAAATTAACATTTCTTTTGTACATGAATTCAAAATTGGCTGTTAAATACATGTGGGTTCATTTGTTTTTTTTTTTATAGCTGCTGAGATCTCCAGAAGCAATTAAACTGGCTGTGTAAACCCCATAACAGATACATAGGTTGTAATGCCTTCATTTTAAGCCTTTTTAGGCTTGTGAATTTAACTATGTGAATTTGACCTACAAAATACCTAAAAAAGGCCAATACTGCTCTCTGCCTTCGGATAATCTTCAAAGTACGTAGAAGAATCAGTAATTAGTTTTCAGCTTTAATTAAGGCTAGCCGTGCTTAGCTCACTAGCTAGCTTTCATGCTGTTTTCATGGAAATTAAAGGAATATTTTTGAAAATTTGCTTATTAGCCTTCGAGTCCGAAGTGAGCTGAGAAGACTTGCCTACCGCTCTCATCTCTGTGCAGTAATGTTTAATGTTAAGATACAGCCGGTGCTTAGCTTAGCTTTGCTTATTTTAGCTTAGCTTAGCTCAGTTTAAAGACTGGAAAAAAGGGGAAACAGCTGTTGTCACCGTAAGGTTGAGAGGCAATGAGCAGAGAAAACTAACTAAGTAACTTCTCCTGGCCAAAAAATAGCATTCCGTTAATAATTGAGCTTGGTTATCTGTTTCAACCTGTTTCCACTCTTAAAGCTAAGCTAAGCGTCATATTCCTACTGTACAGACATAAATGTGGTATTGATCCTGATATCCAATTTTCTTATGATCACATAATAATTATTTATATACTACGGACGTCAAAAAGCCAGATTAATTCACTGTTGTAGTTAGGCTTTGTAAACCATTTTATTCTAACGCATTCCACACAAAAAACAAGATCAACTGTGGTATTTGGTTTTAACCAAACCAAATAAATATTTAGTTGAAGCATATTTTGACTACCCACTGTGATGAATCATCCCAGAACTCTTCTGCATGTAAAGTTTAGTGAACTGTGCTAATGCATGGTAATGGTAGCAGATGTTGACACGCTGGGCCTAACGGGAGTCAGGCTTGTTGAAGAAGAGGCCTAATCCAGAAACACGTGGGACATTAGATCATATCCTGACGCCCCTTTATGGCAGGCTACTTTTCCACTTTTTGAATTTACTCCTGGGACGTTTAGGACAACTCATGTCTGTCAAATGAAAGTTATCTCATGTCAACAAAGAAGAGGCACCGATTTTTTTCCAGCTATAACATCTTTTATCCATAATCTACTTTGTGTACAATAGAAAGCAAGTCTATGTTTAATCCAAGATTGAAGTGGCATGTGTATTTCAGACCATATCTATTTGAAGTGATGAGGCCTCCTATCCCTGTGATTATAATCTCACTTGAAACCATTTTCATTGTTTATGTCGAATCCAGTGGAAATGTGACCAAGTTATAACAACACAAACATATTCCACTAAAGCTGGTGGAATCAATTCCCGGGAAAAAAATATGACAGAAAAAAGGGAAAGAATGTGTGTTTTTGGCTCCAATTCAGGTCGGAACCGTCTCTCTTACTCACTCCCTTCCTTTTCACTCTCGTCTGGTCCCCTTCCTTTCTTTCTCTTAACTTTCCCTCTCCCACTCTCTTTTTCTCCCACATCTGGAGGGTATCTGGTGTGGCTGTGTGACTCCTCGTCTGCTATGGGACAGCCTGCGTTTGGACTGGACGTCAGACTTCAGTGCGTCTCTGCAAACGTTGGTCGGACGGGGTAAAGTAGTGGACCGGATCCTTGCTTTGGCAGACTTTACTGCTGCGTGTTTTACGGGTGGCTGTTATGTTATGTTTTGTGGAGCTTGGACTATAAGTGTCAGCGTCCATGCATGACAATGTGGCATGTGGATTTCAGACCAGAACCAGACTACTTAACGGAATGGTAAAGCCACTTTACAACATCTGCTCAGCTGAGATGCATGAAAACAAGTCATTTTAAAATGCTCAGCATCTTTGCATCTATGCATGCTGCCTTTCTCTCTCTTTCTGTGTGTGTGTGTGTGTGTGTGTGTGTGTGTGTGTGTGTGTGTGTGTGTGTGAGTGTGTGTGTGTGTGTGTGTGTGTTTGCCACTTTACCTCTGGTATTTGTTTTCTTGCAACAAACAGAAAAGGCTGATGGTTGGCTTTTAGACATTTGCATTGAATGGCCCTTTGTAATATTTCTATCAACATTGGTGGACACATTTAGAGGGCTTTTTCCTGGCTTTGCCAAAAACAAAAGCCTAGATACATATTATTCTATTTAATCTATACATGAGGAGTGTATTGCAAATACCTGTAAATGCTTCTGTGTGAATTAATTGGAAAGCTTGTGACTATTATTCTCTCTTTATTTCAAATTGGCCCTTCCAGTTGCTGAGGATTGAAGCTTCAGCCACTGCAGAGAGAGAGAGGACAGAGAACCTGCTGTCTGTTGTTGTTGGCTTGGTGCGTAAACAATGCAAACCCTCCATCATTTAGATATGTTTTTTAGGTGTAATGATACAGTTTTCTTCTTTTTACACACCAGTTAGAAATGGCCCTGCGAGGACAGGCCAGTGTTGGTGGATTGAAACTATTTGAAATGAAATGATGCAGCACATAGTCATACTGGACACAAAATTGTGTTTTGCTTGCTTTAATTAAAGGAGCACTCCAGTGACTTAGTGTTTGGTAGGGTCACTTGAGGGAGAAGAGAGGTGGAAGATATTGAATTTCAGTCCCTAGTACGGGTCAAGCTCCAAAAAACCCTGGATCCTATACTTCCCATAATGACACTCAAAAGTGCCAATCTTTACATCCTCCCTGCCCGGTAAATGACCACATCTTTTTAACTCCACGCCCCCAATTCGAAAGACAAGCTTTCTGTTATTTGAAATCTGTAAACATTTGGAGCCCAACCTGAGATTACTCAAGTGATGTCATCTGAGTCACTTTACAGAGCCCCAGGGGGGGTCATATTATAGAAAGGTATATAGGTATGGTAAAGTGTGCGAGCATATTGATAAACCCGGGGATCACGACTTCTGATCTGTGATCTACTCTTTCGCCTCTGCATCGACCTAAATGCTAACATCAGCATGCTAACATATTGATGTTTAGCAGGTATTATGTTCAACATGTTTAGCATGTTAGCAGGCTAACATTTTCTAATTAGCACTACACAGAGACATCACAAAGTGCAGCCGAGGCTGTCATTAGTTTTGCAGGTATTGGTCATTCCGGACCACAGTGGTAGACCATCTCTTCAGGCACGCTGGGCTGAGAGTTACATAATGTAAAAGTAATGTTATTTGTTATACTTTGCACAGCTTCATAATCACTGCTTGGAAAATAGAAAATAGAACTCCCGGCCTCTCCTCTGTGCTGCTTATAATAGGTATCTTTCCCAGCGGACAATTTGACATGTCATAGCAGGAAATACAAAGGTGTGAGAATAAACATTAACGATGGCTCTGTTCTGTTTAAGTGTCCCACTGAGTCAGTGAGCCAGCATGCACCATACCAAGAACCGGAAACTGAAGCAACTAATAAAAATCAGCAAAATCATTCATTTGATGATTCACACGTGCTATTATTTCTATGACACGTCAAAATTTAGGCTATTTCATTAAAAAAGGCTCATTGAGTGACGATCAGCCCTTCAGAGCTATGCATATTTCAGACATTGTGCAAGTCCTATTTGAGGCATAAGGCACAATTAATATATGATGAGGTGCTGGGTATTTTCACTGTTTTTCATAAGACTGAGAGTAGTACACCCTCTGACTCCCAAATGGATTTTGACATGTAAAATCTATGCAGTGCCTCTTTAAAGTACCCATATACAGCTTTTTATTTTGCCTTGCAGCAGGATTTGTTTTCTCACGCTCCGGTCTGTCATTGAGCATCAGTCAGCCTCCGGCCTAAACACTTGCCTCTCGTCATGACGAGCTGTCTACTCTGCAACAGTTTCCAGTTTAAGGTTGAAGCCAACAGGTGGCGAACACGGAGAATATGCAATTTATTTTGGGGTGCTATGAAAACAATCAGGGAGTGTGTATTCAACCATGTCAGTTGCAGAGCTTCAGTTATGCAGCTGGAGTTGACTTGTTGACAGGGGTTTGACCCTTGATGAATCCCTGAATCACTTAGCAGCTGGCTAACAGGGTGTGTGTGCTGATTCAACCTGATGGCTCTGTCAAAAAGTGTGATCAAAATTACCTCAGGAGGTACGCCCCACACGGACGATTCAGAGGAACGCAGCTTGATTGCATTACATGTTTACTCAGAAAAATGGCAGTGAAGGAAATACTATTCAGCTTTGTGATTTCCCTCTTCAGACGTATAAATCACCAACTGATGAGGAAAGATTTATGTCATTTTTGATTATCACAAAAGCACGTTTGATCAGTTTAATACAAATGGAAATTCTATTGTAAATAATTTTGCCCCTGCAATTATAGTTCTGTCTTTATAGCATTTCCCTGACTTTCCTTCTAGACCCACCAGCAGACATCCTGTTTCCAGGAACAAAACACTCCTGATGTTTTTAACTTCACTGTCCATGTGCTTGTGCAACAGGAGAGCAGTGGACATGGCCTTTTCCAAGCATTCCTTCCTGCAGGCCCTGAGTGTGCTGCTCTTGGCCTCAGTGTTGGTGCGTTGCCAGGCCCCTCTCGAACCAGAGGAAGAGGACGAGGAAGAGCCAGTAAAGGAGACCTCCATCGCAGCAATGGTGACGAAATCTGAGCCACTCGAATGTCCGCCGGAGTGCAGCTGTACGGCAGAAGGGGCCGTGGACTGCGCTGGAGTCGACCTCACAGAGTTCCCCGCCGAGCTGGATGAAAAAACGCGTCAGCTCTCTCTGCAGGTCTTTCACACAACTGCACGCGCACATAAACAGTAACGCACGTCCACATTTAGTAAATTCTGCTCAGAAGTTAGCGAGTGAAAAGTGCAAAATCTCTTCTGAACTTGTATTTGCTGTCTGTGTTTTGTCCCCTGATGCCAGAACAACAAAATTGCGGTGATAACGGTGAAGCACATTTCCCATCTGCATCAGCTCGAGACGCTCAACCTTCAGAACAACTGGCTTACCACCAATGGTACACACTCTAAGACAAAACAGACAGACAGTGTTCAGTGGTGGGGTGGACCAGATTACAGGCACATTTGTCTGCAATGTTTGTTCTTTTGTGCTCATTGGTCGTGCTCAGCAGTGGGTCTGTACAGTTTTCCAAGCTTGTTATCAATTCTTAATCCAATTCAACTGTTCCTATAACATCAGACTTTGCTTCCAGACAATAACCACATCCAGGAGAGGGAGGGCAATCAACAGGGACATCAGAGTGATTTTATCTAGATAACAGGATGTTCAGCAGAACAGCTAATGCTTATGTTGAGGATGGCTGTGCTTTATCAGTGTCACATAACACCCATAATAACACAAATTAGGATTTGCAGCCATATACAAGCCGTTAGAGAACAATGCAGCAGGGACCTGCCCTCTTGTTCCTACGAGCGGTGGTGAATTCGTTGTTCGTCTTAAAGAAAATTTCAAACCCCAGTTGTAGGTCTGTCATTTCTCTGACTAAGCCTTTGTTGTTTCTGCTAGAGGTGTAGCTGAACGCCAGTTGGTCGTTGTCATTCTGGCTAACAGCGGTGGTAAGATGATCAGACAGCTTGGTAGATCTTTTTCTCCCTGACCATTATCCTCTATTGGAAAAAAAAAAAAAAAAGTCTGTGTGATAACACCATAGGATGAGATTGTGTACCTGGCTACAGTGTAAAGAAGAAATGACTGGATGTGTTTTACAAATAGTAACATATGGGTGGACTTCTGAACCTGCCATGTAGTTGCCCCCACAGTGTTTTGATCAATGCTTTGCTGTTCACCGAAGTCTTTGGAGGTAGAAGCTATGAGTGTGTTCCATTTATTTTGATTGATTCCTAAAATATTACGTCAGTCTGAAGTCAAGCTGAACTGAGCATACATGAATCATCAGTGTCACTGACCAAAGGTTAGCAGTGATACAGGATTACAAACAATACGTTATCAATAATTGTGCAATACTGCAAATAGCTGCTAGCTGAGCATTTAGCCTTATAAACAAAGCAATGGCTATTTCTATACAGTGACGGCAGATAGTCTTAATACCTGTCAATGGGTCCGATTTCCTGCGATATCAGGCTTAACGAGCGCCCAGCCCGGACAAACCAAGATCAGGCTTGTCTGCGGTTGCAGGACCTGGAGCTGACCGCCCGCTTCCTTGGAGCCAACACTGACAACATGCTGCTGGCCCAGGCCGTATTGCTGGGCCCACTGGAGGCACGAGAGAACCAGGACAAAGCCGAGCAGACTATCTTGAGAGGTTTTGTGTTGGTGCTCCACGCTGTTGCCAACAAATCATTGGGCTAAACTTAGCGAAACAATTTATATTAGCAAAAGTGACGTGTTATTTCTACCTCTGCGCAGATTAGTCTATCAAGTCAAGATATTTATCAGTTTGTGGTGGTAGGTAAATTAATTTGTAATGTGTTTCTCTTTATAGGCCTTGAAGATGAAGGTTTTGAGATGCTTGAAGAGCTGGCATATTTATACTTGGCAAATAACAAGGTGAGTCACACACCAGACTTTCATATGTTTGCTCTCAATGCTGACCTCAAATCTGCTTACATGATTCAACGGCAACTTCATCTTTTCTGTCTTCATCTCACAATAATGTAGCTCTATTCTTCTTCTGATACCCTGACATAAAGCCAGCTGGCAGAGAGAGGTGGCAGTCTCCTCTCATACACTCTATGCGAGCTTATGCTTGTGATCACTTCCAGTATGGCTGTGCCAGCTGGTGAGGGCTAAAATGTTACTGACCCTTTTGGACACAGAGCGAGAGAGAAAGGATGGACAGATTTGTTTGTGCCTTCACAGAGATGAATAGGCAAACAGGATACAGGAAGAATAGAGGATTTTTAAGTGCTCACTAAGCCTCAAAGACACCCATGCTGCTTTAATCCATAAACCATGTTATAAAGGAGAGAGCTCGAAGTGAACATCTAATCTCACCAGTGCTTCTCGGATTTGTTATTTGGTACAATGTAGCGCTTGTTCCAGTACGAGTGACAAAAGTGAAAAAACCTTGCTTGTATTAAGGGGTACACAGCTTGCCGTACTACATTTCTTCCCTGTACATGATGCACAAAATAGGTAGTTTGTCACTGCCTTCCAAAACATCACACAGGCTCTTCCCAAAAGTTCATATGAGCTTTTTCTCTGCATCTATGGTTAAGGTTTTGGGCAACTGAATCTAATAACTTGGTTAGGGTGTCATAGTTATGTTGGACTCTTTTAGTTGTTTTGGTTTTTAGGGTTACTTAGATTATGTTCACACTAAACCATTTACAGTTTTACACCTTTTGTGGTTGTTTTTTTTTACAAGTTGAGTTTGCTGTGCTTGCTCTGTGTGTTCCTGATGTGTTCCTGGCCAGGATGTCATCCTTTGTACACCTGTTTATGTCCAGCCTCGTCAGCCCTGCCTTTGTGTTGCTGGTCCTTGTTGTCTAGTTTCCCAATCATAGTGTTTTCCTCCTTATTCCGGTTATCTGCCCACTCCAGCTGTGCCTTGTCTGGTAAATGGCATCTTGGGTCTGTTCTCTTGTGTTATTTTCCACCATTTCCACCATTTTGTCACCATTTCCAATGTTTCTGCCTTTCATAATTAGTTGGAAAATAAATGGTTTGTTCTTTAGTTCTGCAAAATTGCAGAGACAACACAGTCTAACCTTTTTAGGGTGGACATAATCTAAGAAGCTCTTAAAACTGAAACATTTGAAAACATCAAGGATTCCAACAGAAGAGTCCAACAGAACCATGATAAAAGGCTATGGAAAGTTTAATCGTGCATGGTTAAAAACAAGACCACTGGTCTACAGACAATCCATCGAGTAGATGTGGAGTCTATCCTGCGTGTTTTACCGGATAAGCTACCCTACAAACATTGACCTGCTGGTGGCACTAATGAAAAGTCATTATGATACATCAGCCAGGTACCATGACTTTCGGTAGAAAATTTCACGGCAATTCATCCAGTATTGGTTGAGAGAATTCACTCAGAACTGATGTGGTGGACTGATCGACCAACCGACCGGTGGACATTGCCATCTCTACAGTAACACTGTCCCATCATGCTTCTTTTCTTGTGCTTGCAGCTCAACTCGGCACCAAAAGTCCTACCACCCTCTTTGGTTAGTGCTGATTTTGCTGCTAATCAGCTTACAAGGATCTACCCATATACGTTTGGCCATAAACCGAAACTGAGGTACGACTGTGCATTTTTGTGTAAAATGTAAACCTTGTTCATGGAATCATGTCCACTTATACATAGCAATGTCGCTTGATCATGGCTCCTAGGTCCGTGTATCTCCACAACAACAAGTTGACTGATGCAGGACTTCCTGACCATACCTTCAATGGTTCTTACAACCTGGAGATCCTCACCATGTCCAGCAACTTCCTGCGGGTTGTCCCAAGGAACTTGCCCTCCAGCCTTTACCGTCTTCATCTGAAGGTCCAGCCCCTGTTAACTTTGTATTTAGATGTCAGGTGGAAGATATACATTGTGTTTCTTTTCTTTCATGAATATGGTAAATGATGACTGCTCTTTTTTGTTCAGAGTAACAAGCTGGAGAAAATCCCAGAGGGGGCCTTTGACAACTTGCCAAACCTCAGAGAGTTGTATCTGCAGAACAACCTCCTCAGCAATGAAGGCATGGACAACGAGACTTTCAGGTGGACAAACCCCTAGGGGTTAACATATTCTAACATGTTGTTGTTATTGCCAAGCGTGAATGAGAAAAAGCCTTGATTTAAGTGTTTTCAAGTGTTTACCAGAAAAAGGCATTCACTCTACAAAGACTATGTTATTTCTGTGTTGCGGCATCCGACAAAAAGCTCCCAGAACTGATTTAATGACTTTCTCTCCTTCTATTCTTCTCTCCTGGCAGCCAATTGAGCAGCCTTGAGTGTCTGGACTTGTCAAATAACAACCTGAGTATCGTCCCCAAGGGTCTGCCTCGCAATCTAGTGCTGCTACACCTGGAGAAGAACTCCATCAATAGTATACCCGGAGACGCTCTCGCTTCTGTCCGAAAGCTTGAGTACCTGCTCCTCCACAATAACAAGCTGCGCTCACGTTCCATCCACCCGACTGCCTTCCAGGTACAGGTCTATTAAATTTAATATCCTTTTGGATCTTTAACATGATAGCTGAGCTGTGTAAACACATGGACATTTCAGGTTGTATCTTCAATTGTAAGAACATGCTGGAAGAGATGCTCAACTGCTTTTGCATAACACAGTTGCATTTTCTCTAGGGCTTGAAGAAACTGCACACTCTCCACATGTACAACAACTTGCTGGAGCGAGTTCCCAGGGGCTTGCCTAAGCGGGCCAAGACCCTAATGATGCTCCACAACTTCATCACCGAAATTAGCCGTAATGACCTGTCCCTGTTGTACTCCCTGACCGAGCTCAACCTCAGCTATAACAAACTGACCAGCCCCAAAGTACACCGCGAGGCATTCAGGAAGCTGCGTATTCTGGAAACCCTGAATCTGTCGGGGAACAGCCTTCAATCTATGCCCGTGGGTCTTCCTCGCAGCCTGCAGGTGCTCGAAATCAAGAACAACCAGCTGAACTCTATCCCGGACGGTGCACTGACGGGCATGGAGAAGCTACAGAAGCTCATCCTCAGCGACAACCAGCTGAAACTGAATTCAGCCTACCAGGGCGCTTGGCTGGAGCTCAGTGCGCTCACAGTGAGTGGCTGTAGGAGGAATAAACATGTCAGATGTTCGTGCAAGATGTTTTGTAGCTCTTGTCCACTGCAGGAACTTAACCTGCAACCTGGACTTTTACGATTCTTGTGAGGCTTTAGTATGGTGTTCTTCCTTGCACTTCCATTGTGTTTCACGAACCGTTTTGGATGCATGTGTGTATATATTTTAATGCCAGGAAGTGCATCTGTATTTACTAGGCAGCAACCTCAGGGTCTGAAAAATGAAGCCAATGTGGGAGTGCCTTAAATTTGCATTCATTCTAATGGCGATCAGGCATGTTGTAGGGCGTGGTTACCTGTGATTGACAGGTCGCTACTGTGACATTGTCTGATCTGGGTGTTGTCTGTGTTTTCGCCTCACCTTACAACAGTTCATAAAAGTTAATAATCGCATTTTGGTCGCCTAAAAATATCTTATTCAGCGTTCAGTGTTCAGTTGTACCTAACCCCACCCTCTTGTGTCACTGCAAAAAACCCAGACAGCGACGGCCAAAATGCCAAACTTGAGGCTTCAAAACAGCATCCCACAAACCAATGGGTGACGTCACGGTTACCACGTCCACTTCGTATAGCCAATGGTATTTACCGGGTTAGACCTCTAAATACATCAAACCTTTGAGTTTTCGGATCTTTGAGTATCAGGCACACTAAGAGAATATGTCAGTATTATGTGGAAGCAGATAAATGAATGCTTTATTATCCGGCTTCGGTATTCTCCGGTGTATGGGCAAAAGTTTAGCATGTACATGGAAGTGTTGACAGCACCGACTAGGTGAGCCGGATTCCCATGTGTCCGTGTCAAGTCAGGTCGAGGCGAGTGTACGGGTTTGCACTGCTGAACAATCTCAGCAACGATTTCATTTTAAATTTGTTTCTGCAGTGGAAAAGGGATTTCACATATTAAAGCAAAATTCTGTATAATTCTTCTATTTTTACAGTATTTTATCACTTAGACCAGGGAAAATATTTCATTATGTTCATTATTCATTGAGAATCTTGTAATTTTAGACGCTAGACCTGTCTGGCAACCAGCTGTCACACATCCCGTCTGACCTTCCTGAGTCTCTGGAGTACCTTCACCTGCAGAGTAACCGCATCTCCAGTGTTCCTGCTTCAGCATTTGAAGGCACTCCAAACATCAAAGGCATCTTCCTCCGGTAGGGGAAACTGAAACCATTTCTTATCAATCAGAAGGTTGTAGTCATTAGACTCAGTCTTTTTACTGATAAATAAGTACTTTCTTTCTGAGCGGGTGTTAAACTCCATTCATCCCCAATGATTGTTTGTATAAGCTGTTTTACTTCGAAAGTAGCTGCAAGACACATGCAAGAGGCAGTAGGCTGACACGCTTCACCGTCCTCAGGGCTTTTTTTTCCCTTTGGATTGAGCTCCACTCAGGAAACGATGATGCAATTGCAAACAAAGAATGGCCGTGAGGAAATCTTTGCTTTTGTTTATGCTGCTCTGTGAGCATCAAAGAGACAGCTGCAGTCGGGAAGACATGCACCAGTGTTATTTCCCCTTTTAAAAACATAGTTTCACAATTAGCTCAGAGTGAGTTTAGGGACATGAAAAGGATCGGATTTCTCTGCTTTTGATTCCTGTGAAAGTATCTGAGGAAAGACAGACATTCACAGTGCGTAAAAAGCTCACGAGCGCTCACAAGCGCGTTGACTATATGAAAGTAGCGTCGGACTGTGCATGAATTAGATTCTGAAACTTTAAATGTAAAGCAATAGTTTAACATATTGGGAAATACTTACAGTATATATTGTTTGTTCTTCACAAAGAGGGCTTGCAAAGTGTCACCGGAGCCAGATGTTTATGTTGCTGGAGAGAGGCTACACAGGTAGTGTCAGATTTTAAATATTTAGGATTATTTATTGATTCTAATCTCTCTTTTAAAAAGCAGGTAAAACATGTGACAAGGGTCTTAAAATGTAATCTCATGAATTTTATATATATAAGAAAGAGTCTAACCATGCAGGCTGCGAAACTGTATTTTAATGCGATGATTGTCCCCCATCTGACCTACTGCTTAACCAGCTGGGCACAAGCCAGCAGCACAACATTAAAATCTATTCATATTCTCCATAAACAAGCTCTAAAAACACTTGATAAAAAACCCAAACGTCACCATCACTGCAATATCCTCATCCTACACCATACCTTGAGTTGGGAGAACCTCGTTAAATTCACTGATGTGTGTCTGGTTTTTTAAATTTCACACGGTATGGCCCCGCCTCCACTTAGTGATTTTATTAAACAAAGCACTCAACGCAGCAGACACACTAGATCTGCTTCAAGAGGTGCTTGTGTCATTTCACATAGGTCAAGCTCTTTTAGCAAATCTGCATTCTCTGTGAAGGCAGCACACTCATGGAAGGCTCTGCCATCACACATACGCACACAAAACACGATCAAAACATTCAAACATAGCCTTAAGGAATGGCTTGTTGCCAATCAGGCGTGCAAGCATTGATGTACTGTCTGTCCTGCCTTCTTGTTTCGCCTATATGTGCATTTGTCTTGCTCAGTGTTGCTATTTTCCACTTTGATGTGTATGTTATGTGCCTCAGTGTTATATATGTGCTTGTACTGTAGGTGGGTTTGTTCTGCCTGACGCATGCTGCTGCCTGTTATGTCTGCTCGGCTCTAGTGTCCTATGTACACTATTCTTTTGCTTATATGTGTATTGGTTTTGTCTATACGTTACTGTCTGTTTATCTATGCATTTTAATTCCATTTTAATTTTAATCTTTTTAATTTTAGGCTGCCTTCAAACATCTGGCCGGGGACAGCAGATGAAAACTAGCCTCTCTGGCTGACTCTGGCTCACTTGCAGTTTGACTGTTGATTGGTGTGCATTGTCCCTCCAAAATGAAGAAATAAAATAAAAAAATAAAATAAAGAAATAAAATAATTATGAAGCTACAGTCAGCAGCTGGTTACAGTACTGCCACTTAGCTTAGCACAAAGACTGAAAACAGCTAGCAATAGTAATATTACATTAAATCTTTCAACTCCTCACACCATAATTTAAATAAACTGTAGAAACTTGCTTTCAATCTTAGTTTCAGTGTTATGTGAATGAGATTTTGCCTCATAAAAGTGAACCTTGAGATAAACTTTTCAAAGTACCCCTGCTGTCCTGGCCTGTTACTAATCAACTCAATTTACTATGAGTTGACCGAGCTTCATTTTGCAGAGTACTGCAGTGTGGTATCTAATCTCTCCATCTCTTCATTTGCTGTGCATTCAGCAAATGTTCCACTTTGGTTTATTCCACATAGTGCAGGCTTATACCCACAAGCACTGCAGCTGAAAGCAGCGACCAGGCAGCAGGGTAAAGAGGTTTCAAGGCTTTTGTTCTGTTTGGTTGTCAGCCTGACCTCAACCTAGCTGCTTTGCAGCTCGCAATTATGAGCCTTGACCCCTTCCAGGCTGTCGTGCTCTTCCTGGTGTTCATATCAGCTGTTGCCACATTTCTTTTATTTTTTTTCACCAAAATCCCCCCACAGCTGGCAGCCTGGGGGGAAGTGGATTCATGTGCGTGCATTCATTATTAATTGCATGTTTATTGCATGTTGGCTAGTTGTTGAAGTTCATATGCAACATATGCAAGTATTTTCAGTGATAGATGAGCCTGGATGTTAAGTCGTTAAGTGTTGTTAAGTGAGTGAAGCACCTGTTCCATAAACAAGTCCCACTGTACTGATCCCTGAGTGGAGCAAAGCTGTCAGATGACACATGTGATTTGCAAATGTCCCCTGTTGTCTTTCAACCGTCCCATCTGCATGAAAGGGTTTTAGCTTTCAGCCTCCGAAAGGTCATCAAAAGTCTATTTTGATCAACTGTCAAGTGGGAAAAACACCTCACAAATGCCTCTCTTTTTCCCCTCCTCCTTTCAGGTTTAACCGCCTGTCAGTGGACGCTGTGGACGAGAGCTCGTTGGCACACCTGTCCAACTTGCAAGTGCTGGACCTCGGCACAGGAAACACCGACCCCTTTAAAAGAGAGGAGATGGAGGAGGAGCAGGAAACATAAAGATGCACTTAATTAAACTGACGTTGGACTTCATTGTGTCAAGGGCAGAACGGGCTTTTAAATGAGAGTGAACCTGTGAATGTCATTTCCCAGGTCCATTATTGCATTGTGCTGAGTGGCAGAGTTACATATTTCTGGTGCAGGATACCGGATGAAGTTACATTAGTTTCCATTTTGTGGGCTGGTTAGTATAGCATATCTTTATATCTGAGCTTTAAATATTTGTTTTGGACATGCAACATATATCATGTAATTGTGTTTTCCAGCTGTATTTTAAGAAATACATTCACAGAAGGGAATTTTTCCACGTAAATCTTTCAGAATCAATATACCCAAAGTCTAAGCAGAGTGAAAAAGGACACATTGTTAACATGGTGTGCGTCTTTTTCTGCTTTATGTCATTCTGTTACTTACTTAAAGTGATTTAAACAGAAATTCTGTGGCAAAATTTGTGTTTTCATCGCCAAGGGTTGCAAGAGAAGCAGTTTCCCGTTAGAACCAATGAAGCCTCTGTAAACACTGCAACTGGTAGTCTCCATTTTATTATTGATTCATCTATTTCTCAAGTAATCGATTCATTTCTTAGTCATAAATTGTCACAAGCCTGAAGTGATTTTTTAAAATGACCTCATTTAGTCAGGTCAACAATCCAGAAAACTCATTCCGTTCATAAAGACAAGGGAAAATGAAAAATAACCTTTTCATTGTTACTGGCGGAAGACGCTTATGTTGCAAATTCAAATTGAGAATGAATCCACAGGGGATTCATTGGACGGGATGCACATATTTGATCATGAGTTCAGTATTTCCGTGTTGGATGACATTGTATTTTTTATTAAAACATTGCAACTTGATGAATTCTTTTAGCCCACCATTTTGTTGGATTCGCTCTAGACAGACAGTCGCCACTCCGCAAATTGCACTTGCTGTTACCACCAGTTCCCACAGCGGTCGGCAAACCAACCAGGACTGAAATCTTAAAGGGACAGTTGACCTCAAAATCAAAAATACATATGTTCCCTCTTACCTGTGGCGCTATTTATCCATCTAGATCAGGGGTGTCAAACTCATTTTCACTCTGGGCCACATCAGCATCACGGTTTCCCTCAAAGGGCCGGTTGTAAATGTAAGACTGTGTAAATGTAACTACTCCTAACATATTGGTAAATAACTGTCTCTGCATTTGATTATTGTTTATTCAAGTGTTAAAATAGTGTACATGCAGTTATATAAATGTAAAAATATATTTAAACACATTTCTGTTATTATAACTTAAATCCTTTTAATTTAGGGTTAAGAAACCCACATTACTCTATCAAAGATCAAACAATTAAAGAAAATAGCAAAGACAAATATCAAACACAAGTTATTACAATAACTTTGTCCAATGCTTAAAATCCTTTCAAGGGTGCGTTTGCACAATCCCACATAAAGTGTTTCATGTGTTGTAAAGACACGTTTAAAGTAGTCTTCAATGTACTCGCAATACATTTCCATTTCAAGTGTACAGTAACCAGCCAAAGAGCTGCTTCTATGACTATTGTTTTAAGGATCACATCATTATGACTTTCTATCTCATAACTTCGACTTTCTATCTCATAATTTCGACTATGGGGATATTTTTATTATCAAGTCTAACTTTAAATTATTATTAATTATTATTATTATTATTTTTTTTAAATATCTGGCGGATTCGCGGGCCACATAAAATGACGTGGCGGGCCGTATGTTTGACACCCCTGATCTAGATAGTGTTGGTGGGAGTTTCTGTACAGTCAGCTGGCTCAGTGCTAGGTGTGCTAGCTGTATTGACTATAGATGCACGGTTCCTTCTGCGCTGTGATACTTTTGGCGGGTGAAGCTCATTAGAAAGAAAATAGTTCCTACATGAAACTGCTCACAACAAGGTCTGTATTTCCAACACTCAACAATTCACACCAAAACAACCTAGATTGATAAATAGAAGTAAGAGGAAAAATATGTATTTTTGTTGTTGGGGTGAACTGTAACTATTGGGAGGACAGCAACACTCTTGAAATACCAGTAACTTACCTACAACATGGATGATTGTTGATATGATCATCATTTTATGTTATTCTTTTGCCATGTGCTTGTGAATGAAATATTCCAAAACATAAAAGTAATTTCAATATATCTGAAGCTTCAATCCATGCTGCAGCTACATCACTCCATTCCTATTTCTTTTTTAAATGACAGCAAATATTTTTATATGACATTGAAAAAACTCATATTATTACACTCACTATATTACTATGAATACAGTGTCACTTTCACATACGGCAGTATAGTATTGTCACATATACAGTCATTGAACACAGCAATACATTATTTGAAAAGGCTGAAGAAGATTGTGCGTTTCCTAACATTCACCAGAACATCTGATTGATATTTCAGCAGGTTCTCCCACACAAAAGCGGTGTTACTGCTCATTTCTCATTTGTCTTTCTCATACATTATATATATATATATATATATATATATATATATATATATACTCTCATATGCAGCTAGTGCATACATTATGTCCTATATCGTAAATATATACCAAAGACTGTAAAGGGCAGAAAACACATCTCAGACTACAATCTGTTATCTTCCCATGAGAGAAATGCTGGCAGCCGTTCCATTGTAAACATCTCTGAGAGTTGCTTTATTTGACCAGAGTGAATTTGAGCCTTTATGTAATATGAGTGAAATGTACCACAATGAAATTGCACATGTAAACATACAGGTTTAAAGGATATAGGTTCGGATTTTTCAAGTTTACTTAAAAAACACTCACATGCTGTAATAAATCCTCCTGATCACACTGCCCACAAGCAGAACTGTACAGGTGAATTTTAGAATGTATGTTTTCACATAAGCAAAAGTGTGGAAAAATGAGGCAGCAACCTCCGGGACTTAAAAGTGAAGCCAATGAGGAAGTGTCTAAAACTTGCATTCTTCCTAATGACCATCAGGGGGCGACTCCTCTGGTTGCAAAAAGAAGTCTGATTGTATGGAAGATTATGAGAAAATGACTCTACTTCTCTCTTGATTTATTACCTCAGTAAATATTGTAAACATGAGTTTATGGTCTCAATCTCTAGTTTCAACTCTTCTTCAATACAGCATGATGTTCATCTGGTAAATTATGGTCCATTTAGAGTTAAATAGACCATAAAGCAGGGGATGCTTTAGGTCGTGGCTACCTAGCGATCGCTAGTTGTTGTGTTTTCGTCTTAGAAAATGGTAAAAACAGTAAAATACCCAAAACTACTGTATCTCTGAACTCTTTAACTAGATCACACACACATCTACTGAAAGCTATTCCATGTGCTCCTCTTTTGAGGCCTGCTTCCCACTTTGAAAACCTCTGCTATAGAGAAAACCCTTAAACAAATGAACAGTGAATGAGGCAACAAAGGAGGACATTTTGTCTCACAATAGAGTTTGTCAGGGTGCAATCCCTTCATGGCCAGTGTGAGGAGGAGTATTTTGTTACCTTCAACAGAACGGCGTCGTGATGGTGCATAAGTGTGAGAGATGATATCAACTAATACATTAGCTCCAAAGTAAGTTCATGTGTTGTAGATAAAGAAAGTTCGGCTCTTGTTTGAAATTTTTGCGAATAGCAGCAAAAATAAATTCACTCCACCAGCAAACTCCATGACCACTCGGCTTCTGTTGAACGGTGGTTGTTTTAGGCTGTGCAAGGAAAGTTTAATTCAATGAAGTGCTCCTGAGGCTGTATAAACAAATCTCTATGTTGCCCCTTGAACACCCAGTTATGTCACGAGGGAAGGACAACTTTACGATATTTTCTTCAGCCCTGTCATCCCGTCAAGCCGAGCACCACCAACTTTGTTAAGGCAAAATTAAACAATTTGGGCATTTCACTTTGCCTCCTGATCGTTCAACTAAAACCAGACACTTGCAACCCTGTCTTGTCTCTTATAATGACACAAACAGCTGGTTGCTTGGAGTCGTATAAAATAAAATAAAATAAAATAAAATAAAATAAACACTTGTCTTATTAACATACAGAAAAAAAATTATAATAATCATAAATGATATAAAATATAGGTATCAAATAGGAAATCAGTTCATCAATGCTTGTACCTGTAATCAAAGGTTTAGGTGCTGCAGGTCCACACCAAAGACGAGTTTTATGAATAAAATCATAGTGTTGTCCTTTCGGTGTGATAAGCTCCACTGTCAGTGTGATACTTGTCCAGTGGTACAGAAAGCATTTCACTACTATATAGTTTCCCCACCACGAGGCTTTCTCACTTTTCAGGACATGTTGTCACCCATGAGTTTTGCCCCTACAACAATGAGATGAAGAGATGAAGATGAGCCTGGCTGCGCTGTACTCCCTTGTGTAAGCATTCCCTTTGCTCCGAGGTCAGCACATCCACACAGACAACACATCGAACTCCAGGAGGAGGCTATACGTTGGTCTCAAGGCCATTCATGTCAATGGTGCAGTGCTCCTTGCTCTTCTTTAGGTTTCTCGGGGGAATGGGAGGCTTCTTCCTGTCGGAAGGCGGCCGGACGCCCTCCTCCAGCTGCATCAGCCGGGCTACGTCGGAGGGGACAAGCTCGTGTTTGACCCCCGAAGAAGGGGGCCGGTAGTTGCCGTTGTTGTGGCAGTTCATCAGAACGGGTTTGGGCTCGCAGATCAGAGGCACCTTGGGGGCGACAGGGTCACAGGAAGGGAATTAGGGTAGTGGAAGAAAAAAAATGAAAGCATGCGTCTGGAAGGAAATCGAGCTGGAAAAGAAGCTGGACAGCGGCTTTGTCAGAATTTTATACCCTTTTCCCCCCATAATAAATGCTTTTTTATTATTTGGTGAAGAAGTTCTCGTAATTACAATTTATAATTTCAGTAATTTACAGACAAAAAAGATGCTTCCTTCCTAAACGTCTGCTTTTATGGAGTGTAAGGAAAAGCTCTGATGTTGTGCAAATCTCAATTCGTGTTATCACTTTCTGCAGAGAAAAGAAGCTAAAAATAAAACTCACCCCATCTCCCTCTTGCATGAAGTCTTTCCTGCAGATATGTGCCATGATGCCTGTGGCCAAAGCATCACCCATTACATTTACCATGGTGCGGAATCTGTCTCTGTAGAAAATGAAGACATTCGAGAGGATGAGTTCAACTTAAAGCGGAAATGTTTCAAAACATTTTGGCCGAATGAAGAAGAGATGAAGAAGATGGGGCTCATGTGTTTTCTTGACAAAAGTGATGGAAGTGGACACACATGCTACACTTACAATGCCCAATCTACTGCAATGATGAGAGTGATGTCATCAGTTGGCAGCCCGACGGATGTTAGCACTATCACCATGGTGACCAGTCCGGCTTGCGGTATCCCTGCCGCACCGATACTGGCTGCAGTGGCTGTGATACTGGAGATTTAGAAACCTGATGTCAACTCGTAAACATAACAGCTGTATGTAATGTAACATTTAATAAGGGATAATAATGGCTGTTGACCTTCAACAGTGCTTCCTGCGGGATGTCATGAGAGACCGATACACAACTAAAGGTCACAAGGACGTGCTGTTTTTAAATCCTTGACTTTTTTTTCTTCTTTTTTTTAACAAAAAGCATATCACCACTCATCTTTTCCATTTGACTGTTCATCTCTTCTGCTCTCTTGTAGAATTATACAGAAAAACAAAAGCAAAAGCAGCACCACTGAAATGAAGAGTGTGCCTAGGTGAACCTAACTGAGGGTGGGGGGGGGGGGGGGTATCAACAATGGAGGAGTTCAATGGTGCCTTCTGTCTCACAGGGGAAAACGTAAGTAACCAAGTTGTTTATGAATATACCAAACCATTGTTTCTCTACCATAACCATATACTGTATAAATGGCCGTGTGAAGAAACAGTAAAAGGAAATAAAATAAAAAATATTAGCGTTAGCATTTAAAGAAAAACATTTCTACAAACAAATAATTAATATTATAATAATTTGAAAGATGTTAAATTAACAGCAAATTCTACACACGGTGGCTTAAAGGGTAACTTCCTACAACACAACCCACAACCCTCCTTCAGTGTCTGTGCTCTCACAGACTCAGCCGATCGTTCATTGAGCTGAACTCTCTCCGTAGACAGCTGGTCATTGCAGCTGTTACTGATTTACGAATATGAAGGGGAAAGTTGAGCGCTTACATGCACTCATTCAGTTAATGATACCTTATTAATTTGTTCTTGGGACGGAATAAAAAAAGATGAGCCATGGCCTCATGAGTCAGACAATGTCTCCATAGCAACTGTCCAGATACTGATTAAAAGCATCCGCTCTGTGAAACGTTGAACTACTCTGTGAACTACTAACATGTAGTTCACACTCCACGTTGTGTGGAGGGTGGACTACATGTTAGTGTACGTCTGATATCTGGTGCAGATCCAGAAGCTGAGGACAGGATGATCCCACCGCTCATCATGGTGAGAGAATGCAAGGGGGGGGGGGGTCGGAGGTCTGGCAGTTGGATATGGTGGTTTATCGAGGCCACATGGCTCTTTTTAGAGAGAGATAAGCGGATAGTTTCAATCTACAGTTGCTTTATGGAATTATATAGAAAAGCATACAGTTGCAAATATAGAGCAGGATGACAACTGATGGTGATGTCAATTATATTCCTACGTTGCTGATTTATGACACTGTTCTTCACAGGTATAGTCAACACAACAGTGAACGATTTGTTCTTGAATACACCAGGCCAGTCAGACACTTCTTATACTTCATTAGTATTTAGGCCAGCCACACTCGGTGTTGAAACGTTAATAAGTCTTCCTTGTGTGCATCGGGGATAACGGCTACACTGGACCTGGTTCAAGGTTCGTTCCCTGGTTTTTAAAAATGTCTTATATTGGAGGACGTACACAGTATATTTGTAATTCGGGACAGCGTGAGCATCACTCTTTGCTTTACTCTCAAAGCACAATGGAGCCTGCCTTCATCATGTATTGCCTTTGTCTGCAGATTATCTTCTGCGCGCTGTACCAAACACCCATTTGTTTTCTGTAATCTGGGCTTCCAATTCTCGCTTAGGAATCTCTTAGAATGCCCTATTGATGTATCAGTGTGAAAATAACCTGCTTTTCCATACTTCAGAAATCAAAAAGAACAACTTTTAGAGGTTCTTACGAAACATACGATGGTTGTATTATCTGGTTAAGAGATATAAGAAAGGCCATCATCGTCAAAGAAAAAAATCAGGTCCGAAAATCACAGAAATGTGTAGCGTGCATATTTAAAAAATCAAAAAATTATGTACAATGCATATCTGCTTGTCAGTTTAAAGGATTTAATGATGTTGATATCATTGCTTTAAAATCCCAGTAATATCTTCCCCACGTTAAGGAGCTTACAGGCACAGCTGGTGTACGGCACGGTCCACTGACCTGATGGTGATGATCTGGCCAAAGTCCAGCTCGTAATTGTTAACTTGTGCGATGAATATTGCTGCCACGGCCTCGTAGAGAGCGGTGCCGTCCATATTGATGGTGGCGCCCACGGGGAGCACAAAACGGATGATGCGGCGGTCAATGTGGTTGTTCTCTAAGAGGCACTTGAAGGTTATAGGCAATGTGGCAGAGCTGAGGAAGACAGATTAAAACAGAGAGCTCAGAGCGTTCAAAGGTCAGGCAAAACAAAAAAAGATCATTGCATAACCATCCCATCATTTCTCCCAGGCATGTGTGTAAACAAGTGTCTAGTGGTTTGCTGTGTTGGGAGAAACAGCTGGAACTCGTATGAGACATTCAGGATGCAGCACATCCGTTTGGCTGATCTGAGTACAGAACCCATGTGCGCTGATGGCCATGTAGCAGGCACACTTACTCTGGCCTTGGCACGGCAAAATGAATAATAAAGTGTGTGAATCTCGATACACACAGGATTGATCTCAGAACATTTCATGGTCCATGCCGAACCTTTTGTGCGTTTTAACCAATTCATGTAAAATCACACAACCGTACATTGCTGAGGAGCATTTTCCAAAACACGCTGTTGTGTTTCAGATTTTCAGTTTGTCGCTTTATAACTTCCAGGCCGCCACTGGCTGAAGCAGAAGTCTGAAGTCTAACCACAGCGAACATAATGTCTGCTAATGTGAATAAGCCAAAACATGCAAAATCACTGACAGTGTCAGGTAAATTCACTGGTCAGTTTGTATAGAGGAGCAATGCCACAAAATATCAACAACATGTGCATGCACGCAGGCAGATGGATGGGTGCCAGTCTAATCAAATGCGTGGAATGCTCCTTTACATTCCCATCTCCTCCCACACACACCAGATGTTTCCTGATCTCCCACAGCCCCTTTGAGGCTTTTCATGGTAGGTTCCAGTAAATGGAAAGGAAAGGAAAGGAAAGGATAAGTGGTATTAGGACTCAAGGATATATCATTTTGATTCATGAGAAAATAAAAACCACATATAAACCTTTTTTACAACACATCAATACAAACTAATTACGTTTGTTCTCCCTGCAGTCGTTTTCTTTACCTGGAAGAAGTTGCCAGGGCGATGAGCAGGGCTTGCAGGATTCCCCGTATATAAACGATGGGGCTCTTTTTGGTGATGAAGAAGTACATGGAAGGCAGGATGAACAAGCCGTGCAACACCAGACCAAAGACCACGGTTATGGCATAGAAGCCCAGCTTTTTCCCCATGGCTGAGGGGTCACTCATCTCCAGGATCTTACCGGCTACCAGGAACACGATGCCGAATGGGAAGTACCTGTCGGGGCGAGGAGTTGCTCAGAGGGTTAGCAGCAGTGGCTGGGAAGTTCTTTATAAATGATACAACTGTTAGATTTGTTCATCTACATGTATAGACAGGTTCCCACGCGATGCCATCATGAGATGCTCAAGTTTGGTGTTAAAGCATAAATTTCCATGATCCCAAAAATAGTATTGCAAAGGAAATCTTGTTAGGGCCGTGGATCATGATAAGGTGATGGGTAGTCCTACACAGGAACTCATCAGCAAAAAATAATATTGTTCATACTGTTATTGTGTGTTTATGGCTATTTAATGAATATCGCAAACGTTTGCCAGCATCTATGATGAACGGCTTGTTGATCAATTTGAGTTTGCGTTTAGAGTTCATTGTGTTCATGCGTGTCATTTGGTGACAGTTTACAGAGATGGCTGACTTAGATAGCTTTCAATAGAAAATGCATTTCTGCAATATTCTTTGTACTAAATACTAAATGCCCTTTAATATGAATGAATTAAATCCTGTGTTGAAATAGTTGCTGAGGACTGAAACCTCCCCTGTATCATCTAGCACACACGTGTCGGGTATATCTTGAAGGTAAACATTAGGATTTTCTCACATCCTAACGTCACAAATATCCTCTGCCTGCTCTTTAATCGTGCAGCTGGCAAACAGCAGAAATTGCATATGCTGACGTAACTTTGTTCTAATGCTAACGTTTAAACGTGCTAATGTTTGAAAAAACAACAACATAATAATGGAGCTATACTTGTGCAGCAGGAATTTTATATCAGCTAACTTTACTCTGTAATGCTAAGATCCATAAAACTAAATACAGTACTTCTGCACTTGTACCCTGTGCTGCCTGTATTCTTATTGAATAGCTATTTATCAGCTGGTTTGCACAGATTCAGTGTTTACAGTAATGTGGAGATGAGGCAGCTATTTTAGCTTGAGTTGTTGACCCTCCTGCTGCAGGTGCATCTTTTAAAGTTGTCTAAAGCTTCCCTGAAGTAAAGTATGGTTCAAGAGAGCATTACCATATAACAATGGCAACAATTCTAAGGACGGCCTCGTTCAGGCTCTGGCAGAAGTTCACCAAGGCGCTGCCATTTGGCCCCATCCTTCCCAACATAATACCTGTGAAAATAAACGGCGCCATCGTTAAAATGTGCATTTCAAATTGGCAGTGATGAATTGAAGCCACCGCAGAATCCAGACAAAAATTATGCAGGTTTTTTACCCATGGTGGCTGAAAATATAACGATTCCAAGGACATTCATTCCGTCACTTGTTCCTTCCCGAATGCGTACGAGCACATCAGGGGGCGGAGTCAGGTCAAGGGCGAAATTCTGGATGTCGGTTCCATTATCGTCCTGGATACCGTAAATGAGCGCCCGCCGCGTGGTGGACTCTGATTGGGCTTGACTCACCGTTGGCTTGGGTTTCACAGTGTACTCGCTGCTCGTTCGATACTGTTGCCAGGGAATAGAAACAGAATCAGAAAAAAAACGTTGACTTTGTGTTTGAAAGCGATGTGTGTGTAATCGGGATCGTCTCACCTGCTGAAATGTGGCCTGGACCAGGTTAGATGGGAACATGTTGCTGCGAAGCAAAGATGCACACACATTAAAACACTCTGTTGTGTGGTTCAGAAACCCTTACTTAGGAAAGTAAGCAAACAATTCAATACTATAAGCTTTTGGGTGTAAAATACTTATTAACATTCATACAAAAGAAAAATTGAAAACAAACAACAAAAACAAAATAACGCTGTTCTATTATGACTCCAATGTAAAAAAAAAAGGATGTAATTTGTTACCCTCCTGTTTTAACAAACCAAATCATGTTGAAATAATTTCTTTGCTTGCTGTGCAACACAGTGCCTACTCAGCAGGTGTGACCTCACCTTATGTTCCCAGTTATTTAGAACAATACTTTCTAATTTACAATTCAATAAAAACAAGAGACAGAGTTAATTAGACTGAAACAAATAGAGGTTTCTGGTGTGACCTGAAGTTTGACTTCATCTATGGAGTTGCATTAAAAAAAACATCTGCACTCCACTCACCAGACACCCGTACTGTTTGGAGATGGGGGTGTATAAGGTCTGACAATATTCATTGTATCTCTGCTCCTGACTCTATTTACACTATCACCTTTGTGTGCTGATTGCACACAAAAAATGAAATCACTTACAAGGGACACTCAGGAAACACCATTCAGTACACGGAGGGGTTTTGCTATGACCAGCAGATTATGGTCACTGATGTTAGCTAATGTTAGATGTAGTTGTAATTCACACCATAGAGTCAGTTAGCTGACTTTATAACTCTTCCCTGTTGTGCTCCTAAAGTTCCTGTACAGGGTATAACAGTAATGGCATGCCCTCTTTCTAAAGTCCAACCAAACCATTTAATGCAAACATCCAACTTATATCAGATCTTAATATGCACTTAAACTGAAATCAAACCAAATTAGATTTCCTAAAAGTAAACCAATAAAACAACAAAATATAACTTATTTTTTAAGATTCGCAACCACAAAATATTCTCTCTGACCTTAGCCAGAGGAACGGTGTTGATACAGGGATCCAAACCCCTTGTTGTCTTCTGTTGACTGACTTGTTGAACAATCTGGATAAAACTATGACTGAGAACATCCAATGCAATACAGACATTTTTTTAAAACCTTTAGTGCCACCACTAAATGACTGTATTCCGATCCAAGGTTGCATTTTACCGGTGCACTGCAGAGACAGAAATGGATGTCTTTTAAGACCCGAAACGCAGCTGACTGCCCAGAGTGACATGCTCTATGTTTTACAGACACTCTGTGATCTTGAAATCCTGTCATTGTGGCCGATTGAAATTCCAATTGTATTTCACTTCATGTCGAGTTTTCCAGGCTCATAGTACAGCTACTGTAGATATAAAGCCCATTCAAAAAGCACAATGGATGTAGATTCATCTCAAAGCCCAAATTAGAGTTTAATTCACGAAAGTAGGATCTCACACCTTGTGACATTTACTGTAAACTGCTGTTGAGTCAAAAGAAACAGATACCTGTTCCTCTTTACATGTAGTAAGAACCCCCAGAGGAAGATATGAATTCAGAGATGTTTAATCAGCCATATTTCTAATTTCTTCTGAAAATATTACAACTTTCCTTTTCAAATTATTACGATTTCTTTCTCACAATATTAGATTTTTTTCTCAAAATATTGTGACTTTCTCTCTCAGAATAGTATGACTTTTCTTTTCAACATTTTACGACATTTCTTTTTTAATAAAATATTCGGACTTTCTTCAAAATCCTAAAGTTTTTCTCAAAATATTATGAATTTTTTCCCCCCCTTAAAACATTCTGATTCTGAACATTCTTATTCTCAAAATCTCCGATTTTTTTCCTACCAGTGGCCCTAATACTCCATCTTAACATCAAGGGTGGTGAGATGGAAAGTCTCTGGAAGTATTTCTTAATGTACTCTAAGTAATTGTAGCACAGTTACAAGGTATATGTTAGAGTATGAATCCAGAGGTTATGAGAATGAATGCACACACGATGGCCACTGTATACTGCATTCAAATACCAAACTCAGGAGTGAACAGTTCTTCCCTATGACTCAGTTTGGACTCAACAGAGACCCACAGTGAAATAGAATTATGACTTCAGGCTGTACTAATCAATATCTATTTATTAATGGATAAAATACAGGTTTAAGTCTACAAAGTCAAATATTAACTGTAATAACAAATATAATTTTTTATCTGCTCAGCTTCATAATTGCACTTGCAAACATGCATTTTGAACCAGTCCCACTGTTAAGAGTTCATACTAAGTGCAGTCTTAAGGTCACCTACTGATCCATTCCGCCTGCCTGCGCAGCTCTGCACATGTGCTCTCTGATTAACGGCCTGGACTTAGACTCACCCCATCGCTCCAACAGCATGAAATAAAATGCTCGGATTAGACTTGCAGAGGCACAATGTATGACAGGTGACTGTTAATAGTCCTGTTTACTGATGCTAGGTCTGAGAAACTGGGTAACATCTCTTATTAAAGAAGATTAAATGTTTTTAGTCAACAATGAAGTCATCCCAGAATACGGGAACTGAACAGCTTAAGACAACCAATGTTTTGTAATCCTGTCTCAGGATTGAAAAAGTAAGATATTGCTCTAGTGAGGTGTTGTGACTCCCGTTTGGTCCACCTTTTATAAGCAAATATTCCTGATATTATTTTGTGCCATCTTGTACAAAGCATCAAATCATTTCTATATTCATTTATATTCATGAGTAACAGCACAGAACGTTTCTTAGCTGAGAAAGTAAAACACTGGTGAGCTCACAGATAAGGTTCTCTGTCTGCAGGACTGGGGACATACATCCTTGATAGCACTCAAAGAATAGAATAACTTATGTATCATGTCGTTTCCCACTTTAAATGTGTTGAACTACGCCACTGCTGCCGTGCTGTCTGTTGCCAGCAAGCCACAAATGTCTGAATGACATTGCCATGGGAACATGGGAACACTATATGCATTTATTTTTCTTACATATTGAATACAACACGTTTGTTGTGCTGTAAATAGGGTCATGTATTATAGGGCCACTGATAAAGCCTTTAAGCCTAAAGGGTGAGACAAACCTCATCAACATATAAGGGGATGATCAAGCCCAATTCACGTGAAGTCCAGTTTACACTTCAGAAGGAGCACTACCTGTGAGTCCAGTTGTATGATGTCCTTCGTGAAGGGAACTGACTAAAAAAAAACCTGATGATGTCAGTAATCTGTGCCGGGAACCAGCATTATAAACAAAGGGCATGGAGTTTGAGAGACAAAGTAATTTACCAGCAAGTGAAGATTTGCTGAGTAATGCCAGTAAATTGAATTATGGCAAGTGTAGCATCTAGCATTTCTGGATCTTGACCATAGACTGTCTATAAAGATGGAAGACATGACAGTTCCCCCTAAAAGTGAAGCCAAAACATCTCCGTCGCACCCTGTTGGCTGGCTGCAGTATAGTTCATAAACCCTGCCTGTCCACGGAATTGGGCCAAACTAAATATCATATCCTTGAATGTAACGTGTTCCTGATGCTCGAATCACGAGTCTGTGTAATAGAGTAATGTGTCAATTTGATTATACATGTACTTATAGAGATGTTATGGTTAGTTGTTGTGCCGTTCTTGCCAAACAGCTACCGTGGTGGTGATGTAGCAGCTAGGTGGCTCACGCTAACTAGGAGTTTTTCTCTCATAACTGTATCATTATAATATGGCCTCGAAAAACGGCTGTGAAATGGTACAGACTGGTCTTACCCCATTGATACAAATTTTAAAAATATATACTTGTTGTGTACTGTGTACCTATGTACACACTATGGATCAATCTCCTTACATCTCATCCCTTTTGGTCCCCTTTTGTATGTCCCTCTCTTCAGAATTGAGCTCCATACATCACCTTGAAACCGTGACAAGACAAATCCCTTGTCGTACAGAAATGATCTGAGATCTGTGTGCAGCTTTCAGCGGGGGTTTTATCAGAAGACGGCGGCGTCTGTAGCTCGCTGTATCCCTCCTAGGCTCCGTTTGTTTTCTGCTAATCTCCCACTCCATGATGTGAAGGTACAGACCACCTAACAATGACCGTACTGTGTCACTGACTAATGGAACACTTACATACATGACTTCTTCTGCTATTGAGGAGATTTAAAAAAACAACTGAACAGCATGTGCTCCTTTTGTACCACTTCAGTCTGACAAAAAGCCTAATACAGTAATTGCCATGCATTGAGTATCGCTCACATATGTTAGACTCATTAATGAGGAAACGGTTGTTCATGGTATGCACATGTATAGTCGGATGGAGGTTATGTCGATCCTACCGGATGAGGTCCAGCAGGGCATCAGCAGAACTCATGATAGGCTTGCCGCTGTCCTCAGAGTCCTCTTTCTGGGCTGCACCGCCTGGGTGGATGATGGAGACCATGATGATTCCCACTACCACGGCTACAAAGGTGGTCCACAGGTAGTAGGACACTGTGATCAGACCGAGCCGACTGGAACACTTGGCGTCGAGGGCTGCCAGTCCTGACATCAAACTGGGAGAAGAAACATTTGAGTTAGACTGATAGTTAGTGCTTTAGTGAAAGAATGCATGTTGAACCATTCATTCATTCATTCGTTCATTATCCAAACCGCTTATCCTGTTTAGGGTCGCGGGGCGCTGGAGCCGATCCCAGCTGACATTGGGCGAAGGCAGGGTACACCCTGGACAGGTCGCCAGTTTATCGCAGGGCACATATAGAGACAGACAAACATTCACGCTCACATTCACACCTACGGGCAATTTCAAGTCTCCAAATAACCTAAGCTGCATGTCTTTGGACTGTGGGAGGAAGCCGGAGAACCTGGAGGGAACCCATGTTGAACCATGATGAAGCAAATAGGTCAATGCAATCTATCAGTAAAAAACTAATTTGTGCATGCTCCTCTCTTCGAAAACTCATGTTGATATTCTTGTGAGGTGTAAAACCATGTATCTTCAAAAAGTCAACTTTTCAGCAGCTTGGTAACAATGGTTTTCTGAGTGAAGCCAATGCATTTAGAATTGTCTTACCAGGCCAAGACCTTGTAATCTTTCAATCTATCTGAAAACTTCAAACACAAATCTTGCATATTCTCATCGAAAAAACTATCTCACCACAAGGTCCAGTTTCTGGAATTTTCTGAGCATTTTAAGATCTTTTGGTGAGATTGTTTTTGCCAACATTTGTTTCCAATGTAAATATTTTTATCTTGACAACTGTACATGCTTCATCTGCTGAGGAAGATCATGTGATGGAATTGAAGGCTCCAGACAAACTACTGTGGTGAAAGTGTTTCTCAACTGCTGTATTGTGTTCAAAAGTGACTTAAAACATCGGTTGAACATTCATGGTTAGGACAGCGTTGCTTTTTCAGATGTAACAAGTTCTCCAAACTAAGGAACAAAATTGTCCATGCCATCTGTAACGAGATTTAGAAGTTGGAAACAGGAAATGAACAGCAGTCTCCCGTGTTAAGTGTTGCCTTTTCAGAGACGGTTGGAGGCCATTGAAGTTAACTTTTGGTGGTCGGTAAATTTATATATTGTAATTCTAGTCGTAGAGTTTTTCTGCGTAATTTTGTAATATGTCTGCGGAAACTGTTGATATTCCCAACGGTCCCTGGTTGTCATTATACCTTTGTATTTCCTGCAGTACGTCACAGAACCTATAAAAGAATGAAGGGTCATTACCTCTCTGAACCTACAATGGTGCCAACCTGGTAGTATTCATGTATTTGATTGTGATAGATCATCTTTGTTATCAATAACTATGAAACTGTTAATGATATTTAATAATGTTTAGGAAGCCTAACGTTGGCCAGCTCTCTTGATAATGTTTCATATTATTGTCAGGAAGTGGTGCTAATGGCCAAATCGTAATAACTCCTCTTGTATTATAGTATTTGCATGTAGTTTGGTTTCATGATGTAGCTATCTTGAGTTGAGCTATATGCAGTTGCTGACTGAGCCATGTTGTGTTTAGAGACCAATAACTGGGAGAACAAGCAGGCACATTCAGATAAAAAACATCAGTCAACACTTTGTGTTTTTATCTTGTGGAGGCATTTTCAAGTCAATGGTGAAAACAGATATGATGGGTTAAGTGGGACTTGCCATGCCCGCCCCATTAACTTCAATACAACTGGTGCCAAACTCTGGCGGCAATGCAAAACTAAAATGCTGTCAGCATGATGTAATTAATCCTCCTCTTCTCTAATTTGCAAAGGTAGTTATTTTTATATTAAAAGTAGCTCAAGAATTCACATTGAAAGAAACAGAAATTCAAACAAAGCAAAATTTCGATGACCAGGCCGATCAAAGCACATCATCAGGCTGAGACGAATGTGTTGTACCACTGTTATAGCTAATATGCCCTCGGATGCAGTGATACAAATGGATTTTTATTTTAATCAAAAGGTGATTTGCAAAAAAAATGTTTTGCTCCGTCTTTGTCATGTTATGTTTTTATTCTCATATATTTGGGAGGGCGGTCAATGGAATTTTTTTTCTAACAATCAGAGGTGGGCCTCAACTAACACAACTTTAAGAGCCCCTGGTGTACATGACTCACCAAGCTCGAGTTCCATTTAAAGGCAACAAAAGTCCAACATTATGCTCCACCCTAACCTGCTCCCTTTCTTTATTTTGAATTCATTTTATTACTTTATTTTATTGTTCAAGTGATTTGTCTTGAGGCATTTTAGAATGTAATATATGTCGCTGCTAAAAAATAATAATGTTCAAAACTTCCTCTCTTTCGTGATGTGTCACGTGACTAACGTTACGCTACATCGTGTAGCGGTTTTGTGTAGCTAGCTGCTAACGCTACGGAACTCGGGCTAAACAGCTATCTTACACAGATTCAAAAAGACATCTGGAGGCGGTGGCGGCGGGGACTCATTTCGTTTGGACTCGAGCGAGTATGTACTTTGCAACAAAACAAGCAAAGATATCAGGTAGTGATACTTTTCTTGTGTTATGTAGCCGATAACTAGAAAGAAGCAAGGGGAAGTTTAGCAGTACAAAAAAGGATTTTTTTACATTTATATGCAAGATGTGAGACAGGAATAGATAATATTGATAGATGGATAATTAAAGTGGCTAACCAGTCAATTTCCAGAAGTAAAGGAAGAATGAAGCGAAGTGTGTTTCCCTGGTGGACAGATGAGCGTGATAAAGTAGTGACAGAAAGGAATGAAGCTATCAGGACATTAAGAAGAACTCATCATTTTCAGAATTTAATTAAATACAAGCAAGTACAAGCAAAGGTTAGGAAAATTATACGTGATGCAAAAGGCAAAGCTGAAATTGGCAGACCAACAGCTTTGGGAGATGTTTGGAACATGATTAAAAGCATAAAAAGGAATCAGACGGAAATGGCAGTAATTCAGTACGGAATGAACACAGTCGAGAGGTTTATTTTGAAGCCTGGAGAGGGGGTGTGAATATTCACTCATGAAGGTTAAAAACTTTGGAGGGCATTGAGTTAGTTGAACCTGCTCGTGTTCAGAGAAATCAGCTCTGATCTTGGCAGCCGGTTGATCTCCATAACACATTTAGGGTTTTGACCTCTTGTTACCCTCTCTTTCCCCATAAAACCATGGCTATTTGGAATGGAAAAAAAACAAAAGAAAATTGCATTCAAAGAAATTCACATCAGCAAGATATAATAGCGGTAATAGCAGAGGTACTGTACTCAAATCCATAGTTCTGACTGAGGAAGGAACTAGAGTAAGAGCAATGACCAGAGCAGCTAGTTTTGGATTTCTTGAGAGTATACACTTGCAATGGATGCTTCATTTACTTTGGAAAACATGAAGAAGGTTATGAATAGGATCAGGAATAACGTCTCCTGGAAAGGATGGAATCTGTTATGTAACGCTAAAGCATTTAAGTGTTTTAGCGTCCATGAAGCTGCTAGGTTTTTATAATAAAGTATGGGAACGGTAAAATTGCCACCTGGTTGGAAAGAGACAGTGGTTATTCCTATCAGGAAACGAGGCAAGAATCCATGAGCTACAATGACCTATAGTCCAATAGCACTGATGTCACGTAGAGGAAAGATAATTCTCCCAGTGTATTTAAACCCTGTGTCCCCTTTCTCAGTGTCGGTTCGCCTGTTGTGTTACCTGCTCTGCTAGAATTCTTAATGTTTCCCTGTTTCGCTCCTTATCCTGCTCTGCTCTGCTCTGTTTTTTCATGTATGTATCTCTCGTGTTTGTTTTCTGACTACCTTATCCTGTTTTATGTTTTGCCCGTTCCTTGTTTTTTCCTTGAATTTTTTGTAACACATTTTTGGACTTCTGTGCTCTGGAAGTTTTGTTTTGAACATTTTTCGTTATAACTAAAATCACCACTATTCATCCCTCTGTTCCACTGTGTCTCTCTGCGTTTGGGTCCATCCCCTGCCACCATTTTCCACATGTTTAGTGTCTGGAAATGGGTTCCATTAACAGATTTATGTTCTGCATTAATGTCATTGCACTCATTTACATCTCACAGTAGGCACGGTTAATAAGATATATGAAACTCTGCAGAGATTTAAAATTATGAATATTTTTTATGTAACATTTATGTGGATACCAGCTCACAAAGGGGCTAACGGCAATGATATTGTGGCTGCATTAGCAAAACAAGCTCTGAATCATGAGGAGATCGTGGACATTTCACTCAGCCAATCTGAAGCAAAAGGAATAATAAAGTAACATTCTGAAAGAGTGGCGGCGCAGTTGATACACAGGATGGCCCCTTTGTACAGTACAGCGAGAAGTGGCCAAAGTGAGGACAGCTTAAAGGAGACTCAAGAGAGGTGAACATCTTGACAAGATCGAGAGAAGAACATGCTAGACTTAATTAAACACTGGACATAAGAATTAAACATCCCTAAGGATTATTTAGACACTGTCAAGTAGAAGAACCAGTGGAGCATGTCATTTTACAAAGCCAAAAGTGCTCTCGAGAACTACATGCATTAAAGAAAGGAATCAGAATACTGGGTGTGGAAGAACTGAGTCTACAAAATGTAGTTGACATCTGGTTCGAGGCCTTTCCAATATCTGAAAGATCTGTATTGCTGACATGAGTACGAAACATAATATTTACTACGGGTCCGCAAGTTTTTTAAAATTAATACATTTTTAAAAATATTTTAGCTTAAAAAACATTAGCCACATTTTGTATTTTTGTAAGTCTCTTCACTGCTTGTAATTCAACCAATGACGGTAGTGACATACTTAATTATTGGAACACAGCCACCTTCACCTGCCTTCCTCCTTTGCAGGATTACTGGTTATATTGCCACATATTCGTCCAAGCGAGAATCAGTTTTAATTGTTGTTTTTTAGGTCTTATTCATTCAACTTCTTCAGCACAACTCTCTAAATCTGAGGTTTTAAAAGTGCTCCAAACTGTTTCAGGGGAGACTTTTTTTAAAGGTTGTCTGAGGGGAGACTCCCAGTCTCAGACTTTGAAAAGCCAATGCTCTAAGTGTTAGATATTGAAGTCAATTCAACTTCCACACAAATGCTGGCACTGCATACGCTGAATGCTCCATCCAACTGCTGAAGGAGTGCTCAGTCCTTGGAGGTATGAGACTGCATACAAAGTAAAACGAGGCGAAAACGGCTCTCGTTATTTATTTATTTTATGAAAGGTACTGTGCCAATGCATCATTGTCCCTTTCTTCATTGCATTGAGGATGCTTATCGTCTCCAGAGGCAAATAATTCAGAGGGCTGAACTGCTGCTTCGAATCCATTCAGTAATGCATGTGATTAATTCACATACTGTTAAATGTGTTGTCGATAATGTTTTATTAAGCATTAAACTCATGTCTTCGTGCTAAATTTATACATCAGTAACCACCAGAGGATCCACAGTAACCACATAGAGAGTAGTGTAATCCCAGAACCAAGCTGGCATCACATCAGCGTTAGTGGTTTGATGGATTTCTCTTGTGAATGTAAAGAGGCTTAATCCCCCACTGCTTTCATTCAGGGACAGAATGCCACACACTCACACACAGTGATGAATAGATACTTAAAGCAACACAACAGCTTCCTATAAGCAAAGGGATCTCTGTTTGTATGTGTGTGTGTCCTTCTCATATCTTGAGAACTGCCAATACAATCTACTTTACAGTATGTGGCTGTGTTACTGGGGACCCAAAGGGCGAGCTGGGTCAAGGTTGGCCCACTTTGGACACGCGACAGGTTCAATATTAATACACTCTGTGCAGCTGTGAGGGAGGGGCTTCAGGGCTCTGCGGAGTCGAGCATGTGGTCCACAGCAGGCCTTTTACAGGCTGCGGCTCATTGACTGCAGTTCATTTCTGCTGCTGGATACAGGATATACTAACGTTACAACTCAACTCGTCTTCGCTTCCCTGGAGTCGACCAAGCCCCCCAGGAAATCAGGATTTGAAGCCAATTTGACACAGTGGCCAAACCAAGTAATTAAGACTTCCTGGTCCGTCACGTGATGGGCCCAAAAAGACATTTCCCCCTCAGACCTACATTGTGAAAGACATCTGGAAATCAGTGGATGAATTCTTTTTAGGTACATCAACTTCCCAGTACGAACGCTTAAATGGAACTTATTTAACTCATTAGGTCCAAGTTATAAAATCCACTATTGGCCTAAATCAGAGTTATCCAGAGTTGGGAGGTGAGGTTAAAGGTGTTTCTGGACTAAAAAATATAGCCCTACATGGTAACAAAACCACACCAAATTCCGTTTTTCAATTTAACACTTTCAGGTTTCTTTAACTGTATCAGTTGCTTTTCCTAATATTTATAAGTTACTTTTGCAATTATGTATCGCTTACTTTTCAAAATTCCCATGAACCACACTCCACATCGGCATGAATTAGATCCACCACACTTATTTAAGAACTCTTCACTTTTAAAGGTGGTTTGCCTGTTACTGTCGTTAGATCGTTTTAGTAAAACCAAATTATGACTGTTGTATTAACTCTATATGCCAACTTAATCAGAATACACAAGGCTAAATTGCCTCCTATTTTATGACAAACTGCTGTTTTTTACGGCGCTTATTATGCCGGCATGGCTAGTGCCATCAAAGGAGCGGAGACATCAGCCACGGTCTATTCCAGTCCCACCTCCAAAGTCATCTTGGCGGGTGTTGAGCAGATGCAAGTGCTTAGGGAGGGTCGAGCATGCGCTCATAACAGCCCTGTGCTCCACATTTGTGTACGCGGAGCAGAAATGCTCCCTTCCCAGGATGCTTTTCCTCTTGCAGTTACTCCTCTGTGGGTTCGTATATAACGATCACTCACCTGGTTTTTCATGAGACTCATTTCATGCCATAGCATCCAACCAGTTAAAAAAAAATAAAAAAATGGAAGAAATTAACGTGAACTAGGTCATTTATTGGGACTGTAAACTTGGTTCAAAATTGTGAACTATTAACCTGAACTAGTTGATTTAACTTTGAGATGGTGTTTGTGAACTGTGAACTTGCACAACACTACGTCAGACAAAGTCAGACGGTACTCAGCGCTTGGTAGCTATACTACTCCTGCTACAAGACTCGCTACTGCAGTTTGGTTGATCATTAGACTGCTTTTAGTGCACTGTCATGGCAGTGCACATTCTGCTACTGCCATGATACAATATACATTTGGGTGGGTATTTCTTTACTTTTGGAAAATAGCATGAATTGCCTTACTTCTATTGGATATCCGCACATCCTGGTCGTGTAGAGCTGGGCGTTAAATCAATTATAGTAATTAAATCCAATTCATGGTTTTGGACAATGTTTAAAAATGAAAATCAATTTTCACTTTAACTCGTTACAGCTTCCCTGAGCTCTTATTAGTGTGCCTGCACTCTTTAAGCTTGAAAGGTTTGCAAAGAAAAATGCTCAAACAATGTATTTTATTGTAAGCAGCGTGGGTTTCAAGTTCAAATGAAGGTTTGTTAACAACAATTTGTTCGAATTTTCTTTTTGTAAAATTTATTTATTTACCTTTTTGCAATAAAAGTGACTTTTTTATGCTTATAGTCAAATTGGATTAAAAAAATGTTACGGTATTTTTTAGTGCACTTCACATCGTCTCGCTGGTCATTTTTTCCATAGAATTGAGAGAATTCTATGGAAAAGTACCCAATACAATGTCCACTCCACCCTCCTGCCAACTTGCAGTGAATGCAAGTAAGAGCGCACAGAATATGTCACTAAAAACTTGTCGTGTTAATCCAAGGGGTTAAAGCTGTGAGGCTTATAGGGAGACTATAATATAGGGAAACAATAATGTAGTTTATAATACAGTATAGTGTGTATTTATAATATAGTAAACTATAATATAGGGACTGCAGGAGACAGTCGTCGGTACCTGGACACAACGAGGGGAAGAATCAGCATCTTCAGCATCCTCATCAGCAGCTCTCCGGGAAACTGGAAGTACTTCACCTCCTGCCAGGATGAGAGAAGAAGAAATTATAGGAACAAGCCATTTGAGGAGGAGCATTAGACAGATAGTGGAAAGGAACTGTTGTTAAAAAAAATGATGAACAGGAACAAGACATTGTTGGGGGCGTTTGGAGAACTGCAGGAGCTGAAAATATGCTCCCTTTCATCATGAAGGAAAAGTAATTCCTTTTTTTCATCTATCAATGTATCTGTGATTAACATGACTCATGACTTGATACGAAACTGAGCAATGCTGAATCATCTCCTGAAGTGGAAGTCTAAAATAACCTACTGGACTATTTTCTTTCATCTTTTTGGGATATTAGAATGACATGCTTTTACAGGTCCTTACTTTGTCCTGTGAATGTATGGACCAATGCCATCTAATAATCCTCTACTGCTTTCACTCATGGAGAACAAATTTTGTTAATATTTCAATATTTATTTATTTTTGTCTTAATTTTATTCAAGCAGTAGTTTCTTGACTTCTTTTTTTGTGGGGAATATGTATTTTCAGAGTCAGTAAACCATGAAACGGTTGCTATCGGTTTTTTTTTCACACAATAGCAGTTCATATTTTCTTATTATGTTTCTTTGCATCAGAACATCAAAAGTAAGACTGAAGATGTATTTGTACTTTTGTGGCTGTAGCTCAGAGGTAGAGCAGGTCGTCCTCTAATCGGAAGATCGGTGGTTGGAACCCTGACTCCTCAAGTCCGTATGTCAAACTGTCTGAACTGGGCAAGATGCAGAACCCCAAAATGCTGTGCCATCAGTGTGTGAGTGTGCGTGAATGTGCATTAGTTTATATCCTTGGTGGTCAGGTGGCAGCCTCTGCCATCTGTGTATGACCGAACGGGTGAATGTTTACATGAAGGACTTTGAGTGGTCAAAATACTACAACTGCTATATCCATTTATCATTTATCATGTTACTATGGTGGCTATTTGCATAAGCTTTGATGCTAATGTACACACCCTAAACATTTCAACTACACGTTGAGGCAATGGTCTGAGATTCACTCTCCTTATAGCTCAAGATTTAGTCTACACCTACAAGTTGTGAAGTTGTGGGTCATAACACTGAAACAATGATGGAAAAAAAGCTCAAAACCAGCTGATGTGATTCATCACTCCGAGCGTTATCTTCACATTACACACAGTCATTTAATCCACTGTTGATGTAAAAATACTAAATTGCTAATGATGTACGACGCATCCATCTATTGGTGCTATCAACCGGTGAAAACCAACGATGATTTTTACCAGAGACAAACGTATCTGGCAGGCACTGTAAACTGGTTTACAGAAGCATAAATCCACCGTTGGTCCATTTAAACACAGTAGACAATGTAACAGTTGCACTGCCACAGAAATCTAACCTAAGATTGTGCTGGAATGTGTTTGTAGAGTTGGCAGCCACGACATTGTGTGCACTGTCCTGGACTTATCCAGTCACTTTTCCAGTAAGTCTCCAATGCGTCAATTAGTTTCGCTGTCAGGGTTTCCACCAGTGGATCAAAAGCCCGGCGTATTAGCAAGTGTCCTGTGTGACATTGAGTATGACACAGTAACGTTATAGCTGTGAATGTAGCAGTGCGGTATGTGTACAGTTTATAAGTCGGTGAGTAAATGCTACAACTTAAAACCAAAGCCAAGTTGTCTTGTTAGCCACTTGCAACCTGCTGCTTTGAAGTGATTTGGGGTTAGCCCTGAAGCTAGCAACAACTGGTTAATGGTTAACAGTTAATCCTTTACATTCCTAGTCGCTAACTACAAGTTAAAAGGTCACAGAGCTGAATATTACTGCATTCATTCAATGCCATTTCTTGTCTGAAAACATATGTTAAGATTATATTTTTGTAACAGTTTGGCTAAAGGTGAAGCTGGTTAAATGTTTCCTCTGAGATGGATTTCAGGAGTGGACGTCCTGTGAGGAAAAGGTATTCATTGCATTGTTCATTTACCATCTTTTGGCTTACAACAGCTGACCTTTTTATGTTTTTCAGAGGAAGTTTAGATTTCATTTTATTTCAAAAATAATGTTCGTCAACAATGTGTATTATACACATTCAGCAAATTTCTTGTTTTCGCTTTGCCATGGCACCACCATCTGCTTTTCATACTGCATGTCAAGTATGTGGTTGAGTTGCTTAAAAATCTTTATAGTTCAGCTCAAAGATTCTGTGTTACAGAGCTTGTATTGAAGTGTTGCCCTGGATAAATCTTTCCAAAGAACGGAGTTTAAACAATAAAAAGGTCTCTTCTTGTGCAGTCTATGCAGTTACTCCAATGTTAACCCAGCAGTGGCAGTGTTAGATGCTCGGAGAAAGTGCTCCAGCAGTCAGGTGACAATGTTTAAAGATCGTCAAAGTCCACGTAGGAAGGCGAACAGATTCAAATAAACCTCAGATCTGTTTCACCTAAGTTCCACCAGCATGTCCACATCTCCACTAGAGGAAACAATACACTGGACCATGTTTACACCGATATTTCTGGCAGCTACAATGCCTCCCACTTTGGACCATCAGACCATATTTCCCTGTTTCTGCTGCCTACTAACACCCAGCCTATTGAATAGACCAAACCATGGGGGGGAATAAAGACAGATGAAGCTTCATTGTGCTGCCGTCTGGCAAGAGATACAGAAGTGTCAGCTGCCGTGCCGTGCCACCAGAGCAGCTTCTTTCCTCAAGCTGTGAGACACAAAATTCATCCTCCACCCTCCAAATATAATCATTTTGTTTTTTTTGTGCATATTCTTATGTAGCAAAATGGGACTATAAACTGCATTTTGTTGCACAACCCTGTTGTACAATAACATTAAAATGAACCTTTTAAACCTAACCAAATAGTTTGGTGCCGACACCTTACTAAACGTTTCAAGGGCATAACATGTAGTAGGCTGGTCCTGTAGTACTGTGCAGCTGTAGATAGACCTACTTGGATGGATGAGTCAAACAAACAGGCATTTCAACCAGGAGATGGCTGTTGTTCTGTGAAATCAAAAGTCAACATTGACCTATTTACTTTGACTACTTAAGTCACATAGGCTACATAACTTTACTCGCATAACAAACATACTTATTTTAACCCAAACCACCACGTTTAACCTAAACTTAACAAAGTAGTTTTGTTGGAATGACAAGCGTCTGTATGTGATGAGTTGGTAATGAGAGAGTGTTGACAGCAGCATAGCCAGACAACAATTATTATCTCCTTTGTCCTGTTAAAGATGCTTAGTTTTTACAAAAGTGATCTTTTGTATCACTGGTCAAAGCAGGTAGAAGAATGTTATGATTATAAAAGGGAGTCAGAGAGTCACAGATAAACACAGACGGGTAAACCTAATTTGAAAGGAATAGGAGAGCAGCCATAAAATAACAGATAAACCTCCAGTGACATGCTTCCGAGACTCTTGGGTGACATGTTTGACAGAAGCGTTCAGATCTCACAGGCTTTTTGTGTATTTGTGTCAGTGTCCACTGGGCTTAACCTAACACTGGCATCCATCCAGTGCAACAGTGAACAGCTGTTCTCTACCGGCTGTGCTGTTCCATCCCCCTGCAGCCAGACCTCATATCTCCACTCTGTCTAAATGAACTTTGCAGTGTATCAAGAGTTTGAAAAAGCTTCTTCCCTCCCAAGTCATCTCTGTGGTTTCAGTGTGTTTTTTTGGATATCTGCCACAAGTTGATCCTGAATTTACTATTGAGGTATGAGTAAATTAGTTATATGGTTTGTGTGGGGCCATTGTTTTGTTGATATGGTAATTTGTTTGTGTCCTCTATTGATGAAGATTAAATTGTGGGTGTTATAATTTCAGCTCATTTAAAGTATCAACTGAATGCAATGAGGTTGATGAAATGTACATTCCGGAGCTCTTGCCAGAAGGGGCATTTGTCCGGCGCTTTTATGAGCTGCACAGGGCGGGAGTTATCGGGTCAAACCCCGCACATGCTGTGGGGGAAAAAGTGTGCCTGCTGGTGCTGTGGCCATGCCTTGCTAAATGATAATCTGTTTTTGTCATACAATTGTCTGCGTGTGGGCCACAGCGCAGGGGATAAAGCTCGCCGCATGGTTGTTGACAATCTTTTGAAAATTGTGACATACTATGTATACAAGAGACATTCTTAGCAAAGCAAGCCTTGAAAAAACTAACTTCTTTCAATGATAACTTTAATGGGACACGGGAGTCTACAACTGACCGTGGCATGGGAAAAGTCAGAGGAGGGATACCAGGGGGTGTGGCTATTCTATGGAATAAGAAGCTTGACTCATTGATACATGTGGTCAGGCTTGGTGTTGACTGGTAACCATATTATGTATGCAGATGATCTTGTGATTCTTAGTCCATTTGCACTGGTCTTAAGAAAGCTCCTTACTATATGTACTATCTATGGTGTGGAACATGACATCAAATACAATGCCAGTAAGAGTGCTATCTTGATCTATAGAACCAAAGAGAACAAATGTCAAAAGGTTCCTGACTTCAAATTGTCTGATAACAATCTTGGTGTCTATGATAAGGTAAAATATCATTTTTTTTTATTACAGAAAAGATGGCCGATGATGATGATATTTCTAGGCATGGTGTAGGTCGGATGTATGAACAAGCAAAGACTCTATCACGCAAGTTTGGTATGTGTACAGATGGAGTGAAGATGTCTCTGTTCAGAGCATATTGTATACCACTCTACACTGCACACTTGTGGTCAAACTACAAAAAAGCAGGCGTACAGAGACTTCAACGAGCTTATAATGATGCCATGAGAATACTGCTAAAGAGACCGAGATGGTGTAGTGCACGTGAAATGTTTGTGACTGCAGGAGTCAATACTTTCCAAACTGTTTTAAGAAATCTCTATACATTTATTTGCTGGCTTAATGACCCTGAAAATGAAATTATCTTGGCCATGAATGAACCACCTCAGCTCATGCTCGTTCACAGTTGCACACAGAGAGCAGGCCATTAGCTTTCTAATGCTAGCTAAAACCAAGGTG